ATGGGTGTCCAGATGGTGGCTCTAACCCTAACATGGGTGTCCAGATGGTGGCCCTAGCCTAACATGTGTGTCCAGATGGTGGCCCTAGCCTAACATGGGTGTCCAGATGGTGGCCCTAACCCAACATGGGTGTCCAGATGGTGGCCCAAGCCTAACATGGGTGTCCAGATGGTGGCCCTAGCCTAACATGGGTGTCCAGATGGTGGCCCTAGCCTAACATGGGTGTCCAGATGGTGGCCCTAGCCTAACATGGGTGTCCAGATGGTTGCCCTAGCCCAACATGGGTGTCCAGATGGTGGCCCTAGCCTAACATGGGTGTCCAGATGGTGGCCCTAGCCCAACATGGGTGTCCAGATGGTGGCCCTAACCCTAACATGGGTGTCCAGATGGTGGCCCTAGCCCAACATGGGTGTCCAGATGGTGGCTCTAACCCTAACATGGGTGTCCAGATGGTGGCCCTAGCCTAACATGTGTGTCCAGATGGTGGCCCTAGCCCAACATGGGTGTCCAGATGGTGGCCCTAACCCAACCATGGGTGTCCAGATGGTGGCCCTAACCCTAACATGGGTGTCCAGATGGTGGCCCTAGCCTAACATGGGTGTCCAGATGGTGGCCCTAGCCTAACATGGGTGTCCAGATGGTGGCCCTAGCCTAACATGGGTGTCCAGATGGTTGCCCTAGCCCAACATGGGTGTCCAGATGGGGGCCCTAGCCTAACATGGGTGTCCAGATGGTGGCCCTAGCCTAACATGGGTGTCCAGATGGTGGCCCTAGCCCAACATGGGTGTCCAGATGGTGGCCCTAACCCTAACATGGGTGTCCAGATGGTGGCCCTAGCCCAACATGGGTGTCCAGATGGTGGCCCTAACCCTAACATGGGTGTCCAGATGGTGGCTCTAACCCTAACATGGGTGTCCAGATGGTGGCCCTAACCCTAACATGGGTGTCCAGATGGTGGCTCTAACCCTAACATGGGTGTCCAGATGGTGGCCCTAGCCTAACATGGGTGTCCAGATGGTGGCTCTTACCCTAACATGGGTGTCCAGATGGTGGCCCTAACCCTAACATGGGTGTCCAGATGGTGGCTCTAACCCTAACATGGGTGTCCAGATGGTGGCCCTAGCCTAACATGGGTGTCCAGATGGTGGCTCTAACCCTAACATGGGTGTCCAGATGGTGGCTCTAACCCTAACATGGGTGTCCAGATGGTGGCTCTAACCCTAACATGGGTGTCCAGATGGTGGCCCTAGCCTAACATGGGTGTCCAGATGGTGGCCCTAACCCTAACATGGGTGTCCAGATGGTGGCCCTAGCCAAACATGGGTGTCCAGATGGTGGCCCTAACCCTAACATGGGTGTCCAGATGGTGGCCCGAGCTTAACATGGGTGTCCAGATGGTGGCCCTAGCCTAACATGGGTGTCCAGATGGTGGCCCTAGCCTAACATGGGTGTCCAGATGGTGGTCCTAGCCTAACATGGGTGTCCAGATGGTGGCCCTAGCCTAACATGGGTGTCCAGATGGTGGCCCTAACCCTAACATGGGTGTCCAGATGGTGGCCCTAGCCCAACATGGGTGTCCAGATGGTGGCCCTAGCCTAACATGGGTGTCCAGATGGTGGCCCTAACCCTAACATGGGTGTCCAGATGGTGGCCCTAGCCCAACATGGGTGTCCAGATGGTGGCCCTAACCCTAACATGGGTGTCCAGATGGTGGCCCTAGCCCAACATGGGTGTCCAGATGGTGGCCCTAGCCTAACATGGGTGTCCAGATGGTGGCCCTAACCCTAACATGGGTGTCCAGATGGTGGCTCTAACCCTAACATGGGTGTCCAGATGGTGGCTCTAACCCTAACATGGGTGTCCAGATGGTGGCCCTAACCCTAACATGGGTGTCCAGATGGTGGCCCTAGCCTAACATGGGTGTCCAGATGGTGGCCCTAGCCCAACATGGGTGTCCAGATGGTGGCTCTAACCCTAACATGGGTGTCCAGACGGTGGCCCTAACCCAACCATGGGTGTCCAGATGGTGGCCCTAACCCAACCATGGGTGTCCAGATGGTGGCCCTAACCCCACCATGGGTGTCCAGATGGTGGCCCTAGCCCAACATGGGTGTCCAGATGGTGGCTCTAACCCAACCATGGGTGTCCAGATGGTGGCCCTAGCCCAACATGGGTGTCCAGATGGTGGCTCTAACCCAACCATGGGTGTCCAGATGGTGGCCCTAGCCTAACATGGGTGTCCAGATGGTGGCCCTAGCCTAACATGGGTGTCCAGATGGTGGCCCTAGCCTAACATGGGTGTCCAGATGGCGGCCATAGCCTAACATGGGTGTCCAGATGGTGGCCCTAGCCCAACATGGGTGTCCAGATGGGGGCCCTAGCCCAACATGGGTGTCCAGATGGTGGCCCTAGCCTAACATGGGTGTCCAAATGGTGGCCCTAGCCCAACATGGGTGTCCAGATGGTGGCCCTAACCCAACATGGGTGTCCAGATGGTGGCCCTAGCCTAACATGGGTGTCCAGATGGTGGCTCTAACCCTAACATGGGTGTCCAGATGGTGGCCCTAACCCTAACATGGGTGTCCAGATGGTGGCTCTAACCCTAACATGGGTGTCCAGATGGTGGCTCTAACCCTAACATGGGTGTCCAGATGGTGGCCCTAGCCCAACATGGGTGTCCAGATGGTGGCCCTAACCCAACATGGGTGTCCAGATGGTGGCCCTAGCCAAACATGGGTGTCCAGATGGTGGCCCTAACCCTAACATGGGTGTCCAGATGGTGGCCCTAGCCTAACATGGGTGTCCAGATGGTGGCCCTAGCCTAACATGGGTGTCCAGATGGTGGCCCTAGCCTAACATGGGTGTCCAGATGGTGGTCCTAGCCTAACATGGGTGTCCAGATGGTGGCCCTAGCCTAACATGGGTGTCCAGATGGTGGTCCTAACCCTAACATGGGTGTCCAGATGGTGGCCCTAGCCTAACATGGGTGTCCAGATGGTGGCCCTAGCCTAACATGGGTGTCCAGATGGTGGCCCTAGCCTAACATGGGTGTCCAGATGGTGGCCCTAGCCTAACATGGGTGTCCAGATGGGGGCCCTAGCCTAACATGGGTGTCCAGATGGTGGCCCTAGCCTAACATGGGTGTCCAGATGGTGGCCCTAGCCTAACATGGGTGTCCAGATGGTGGCCCTAACCCTAACATGGGTGTCCAGATGGTGGCCCTAACCCTAACATGGGTGTCCAGATGGTGGCCCTAGCCTAACATGGGTGTCCAGGTGGTGGCCCTAGCCTAACATGGGTGTCCAGATGGTGGCCCTAACCCTAACATGGGTGTCCAGATGGTGGCTCTAACCCTAACATGGGTGTCCAGATGGTGGCTCTAACCCTAACATGGGTGTCCAGATGGTGGCCCTAACCCTAACATGGGTGTCCAGATGGTGGCCCTAGCCTAACATGGGTGTCCAGATGGTGGCCCTAGCCCAACATGGGTGTCCAGATGGTGGCCCTAGCCTAACATGGGTGTCCAGATGGTGGCCCTAACCCTAACATGGGTGTCCAGATGGTGGCCCTAACCCAACCATGGGTGTCCAGATGGTGGCCCTAACCCAACCATGGGTGTCCAGATGGTGGCCCTAGCCCAACATGGGTGTCCAGATGGTGGCTCTTACCCAACCATGGGTGTCCAGATGGTGGCCCTAGCCCAACATGGGTGTCCAGATGGTGGCTCTAACCCAACCATGGGTGTCCAGATGGTGGCCCTAGCCCAACATGGGTGTCCAGATGGTGGCCCTAGCCTAACATGGGTGTCCAGATGGTGGCCCTAACCCTAACATGGGTGTCCAGATGGTGGCCCTAACCCAACCATGGGTGTCCAGATGGTGGCCCTAACCCAACCATGGGTGTCCAGATGGTGGCCCTAGCCCAACATGGGTGTCCAGATGGTGGCTCTAACCCAACCATGGGTGTCCAGATGGTGGCCCTAGCCCAACATGGGTGTCCAGATGGTGGCTCTAACCCAACCATGGGTGTCCAGATGGTGGCCCTAGCCCAACATGGGTGTCCAGATGGTGGCCCTAGCCCAACATGGGTGTCCAGATGGTGGCCCTAACCCTAACATGGGTGTCCAGATGGTGGCCCTAGCCTAACATGGGTGTCCAGATGGTGGCCCTAGCCTAACATGGGTGTCCAGATGGTGGTCCTAGCCTAACATGGGTGTCCAGATGGGGGCCCTAGCCTAACATGGGTGTCCAGATGGTGGCCCTAGCCCAACATGGGTGTCCAGATGGTGGCCCTAGCCTAACATGGGTGTCCAGATGGTGGCCCTAGCCTAACATGGGTGTCCAGATGGTGGCCCTAGCCTAACACGGGTGTCCAGATGGTGGCCCTAGCCTAACATGGGTGTCCAGATGGTGGCCCTAGCCTAACATGGGTGTCCAGATGGTGGCCCTAGCCTAACATGGGTGTCCAGATGGTGGCCCTAACCCTAACATGGGTGTCCAGATGGTGGCCCTAGCCTAACATGGGTGTCCAGATGGTGGCCCTAGCCCAACATGGGTGTCCAGGTGGTGGCCCTAGCCTAACATGGGTGTCCAGATGGTGGTCCTAGCCTAACATGGGTGTCCAGATGGTGGCCCTAGCCTAACATGGGTGTCCAGATGGTGGCCCTAGCCCAACATGGGTGTCCAGATGGTGGCCCTAACCCAACATGGGTGTCCAGATGGTGGCCCTAGCCCAACATGGGTGTCCAGATGGTGGCCCTAGCCCAACATGGGTGTCCAGATGGGGGCCCTAGCCTAACATGGGTGTCCAGATGGTGGCCCTAGCCTAACACGGGTGTCCAGATGGTGGCCCTAGCCTAACATGGGTGTCCAGATGGTGGCCCTAACCCTAACATGGGTGTCCAGATGGTGGCCCTAGCCTAACATGGGTGTCCAGATGGTGGCTCTAACCCTAACATGGGTGTCCAGATGGTGGCCCTAGCCCAACATGGGTGCACTTACCTCCAGCTTGTGGACAGTGTCATGTTTGTCCTGCTCCTGGGGGGTCAGCTGCTGCCATTGTCCTTGGATGACCACGGGCTGGGATGTGCTGAGAGTGGACTTGTACTCCCCGGGGCTCAGCTCATCCATACGACGAGCTGCACAGACAGAACTCAACATTCACTCTGCTCTAATCAACAGACAGCCAGGAGGAAGCTGCACAGACAGAACTCAACATTCACTCGGCTCTAATCCACAGACAGCCAGCAGGAAGCTGCACAGACAGAACTCAACATTCACTCGGCTCTAATCAACAGACAGCCAGGAGGAAGCTGCACAGACAGAACTCAACATTCACTCGGCTCTAATCCACAGACAGCCAGGAGGAAGCTGCACAGACAGAATTCAACATTCACTCTGCTCTAATCAACAGACAGCCAGGAGGAAGCTGCACAGACAGAACTCAACATTCACTCGGCTCTAATCAACAGACAGCCAGGAGGAAGCTGCACAGACAGAACTCAACATTCACTCGGCTCTAATCCACAGACAGCCAGGAGGAAGCTGCACAGACAGAACTCAACATTCACTCGGCTCTAATCCGCAGACAGCCAGCAGGAAGCTGCACAGACAGAACTCAACATTCACTCGGCTCTAATCCACAGACAGCCAGGAGGAAGCTGCACAGACAGAACTCAACATTCACTCGGCTCTAATCAACATGGCATAGAGGCCAGGAAAAACTGGACATCCGGGAGGAAGGTGACCACGATTGACTGAGGTGAATGCCAAGCACTCAGACAAAATGCTTTGCAACATTGTATCATGGTACAGCTTACATTGGAACATTCTCTCATAATATGTACCAGAGCTCCAGATAAGCTGCGTATCTGCGTGAAATACGCATCAGAAATGCAGAAATACGCAGTAAAATAAAATCCAAGCGTATCAAATACGCAACAAACATTACAGATACGCTACAAAAATAAAACTTGTGCGTATCATCAAAATATTGTGAAGTAACCCTGCGTATTCGATTAGCAAATGAGCAACTTATATTGAAATTATAAGTTGGCATTCCGTCAACTTTGCCAAACTCCACGATGACAGTCAGATCATGATCATTTGCCATCACACTTTCTTGTGGAAGTATCGTGGTATTTTTGAGTCCTATAAAGCTCTCGAACCCATACGACACCAGTTTGCAGGGACTAGATGAATAGTGTTTTTAAATATTTAACTTAAATACCCACATGTGTAAAAACTAGTGGGTAACAGAAATTTGAATACGCAGATAGAATTACTGATACCCAATGATTTTAAAATGCATGGGTAAAATACCCACAACACCAAAAGCTTATCTGGAGCTCTGTGTACCGTATTTTGCTGTGTATAAGGCGACCCCACGTATAAGACGACCCCCCTGCACATGCCTTCAAAATCAACCCAAAATCCTATACTCCGTATATAAGGCGACCTGGAATGAAGCACATCACAAGTGCGCACACAAACCTTATATATGCAATAAAAATATGTTTATCTTGCATTGTTTTTTCAACGATGATTGGTCGCACATGTAACTCCAGCACATGTTGCCATTTTGTGTTTACACGGTACGACACCAAATTGGTGCCCGTAAAATAAAATTCATTTATGAAGTAATAACATATAAGAGACAATAGTGAGTAATTTAATCGCCAATTAACTATGTTGTAACTATCTAGGCTTATGTTTGCTTCACATTCAGCATGTTTATTCCACAATCACTTATACACACTGTCTCCAACAGTTGTTAATACATTTCAACTTTATTTGCAGAAATTATTAAACTTTATTCAAGGAAAAGAGATACAAATCATGTTTATGTATGTAATAGTTATTGGAACAGTTATTTAGGACGAAATGCGAAGTTTTATTGTCAAATGCTGGGCTGGCTATCGGACGCCCGTTGACATCGCTAGTGGAAAAAAAATGTGAGATCTTCGACTCCGTGTATATTCGACCTCCCTTCTTAACAACCTCATTTTAGGTACGAAAAACTCACCTTATACACAGCCATATACGGTAATGTGCCAAATATAACCTTTCATCTGACGCAGCACGTTTCTCTAGGATCTACACACATACAGACACACTAGCTTCACTACCCACCTTTCATCTGACGCAGGACATGTTTCTCTAGGATCTACACACATACAGACACACTAGCTTCACTACTCACCTTTCATCTGAGACAGCACACGTTTCTCTGGGATCTACACACATACAGACACACTAGCTTCACTACCCACCTTTCATCTGACGCAGCACATGTTTCTCTAGGATCTACACACACACATACAGACACACTAGCTTCACTACTCACCTTTCATCTGACGCAGCACACGTTTCTCTAGGATCTACACACATATACACATACAGACACACTAGCTTCACTACTCACCTTTCATCTGACGCAGCACATGTTTCTCTAGGATCTACACACATATACACATACAGACACACTAGCTTCACTACTCACCTTTCATCTGACGCAGCACATGTTTCTCTAGGATCTACACACATATACACATACAGACACACTAGCTTCACTACCCACCTTTCATCTGACGCAGCACATGTTTCTCTAGGATCTACACACATTTACACATACAGACACACTAGCTTCACTACCCACCTTTCATCTGACGCAGCACATGTTTCTCTATGTCCAGATCGAGGGACACCTGCCCACGGAAGGCTCGCTTCTTCTTACGATTGATATCCTTCGACTCAACCACTGAAAACATATGCAAACAATAAGGAAGAGAATTTATGGATGTCAACTTCTTTATTCTGAGGAACACAACGTTTCTGAGTGTATGCTTACTCCTTCGTCACTTGAATGAAGGCAGAGAGGTAATTAGGTAAAAGAATAGAAATAGAGAAGGGCAAATGGAAGCCAGCTAGATAATTGGCCCCGACAAAGATCAAAGCAATAAGTCCCAAGCACTAGGTAGACAGGCTCCCTGGTCACATGCAAACAATATCTGAAATATGTCAGCACTACCCCGGTACTGGCTCCTACTACTCTGACCAGCTCCTACTACCCGGACCAGCTCCTACTACTCGGACCAGCTCCTACTACCCGGACCAGCTCCTACTACTCTGACCAGCTCCTACTACCTGGACCAGCTCCTACTACCCGGACCAGCTCCTACTACTCGGACCAGCTCCTACTACCCGGACCAGCTCCTACTACTCTGACCAGCTCCTACTACCCGGACCAGCTCCTACTACTCTGACCAGCTCCTACTACCCGGACCAGCTCCTACTACTCTGACCAGCTCCTACTACTCTGACCAGCTCCTACTACCCGGACCAGCTCCTACTACTTGGACCAGCTCCTACTACTCTGACCAGCTCCTATTACTCGGACCAGCTCCTACTACTCGGACCAGCTCCTACTACTCTGACCAGCTCCTACTACTCGGACCAGCTCCTACTACTCTGGCTAGCTCCTACTACTCGGACCAGTTCCTACTACTCGGACCAGCTCCTACTACTCGGACCAGCTCCTACTACCCGGATCAGCTCCTACTACTCGGACCAGCTCCTACTACTCGGACCAGTTCCTACTACTCGGACCAGTTCCTACTACTCGGACCAGCTCCTACTACTCGGACCAGCTCCTACTACTCGGACCAGCTCCTACTACTTGGACCAGCTCCTACTACTCGGACCAGCTCCTACTACTCCGACCAGCTCCTACTACTCGGACCAGCTCCTACTACTCGGACCAGCTCCTACTACTCCGACCAGCTCCTACTACTCGGACCAGTTCCTACTACTCCGACCAGCTCATACCTTCTGGTGGAACGAAGTTCTTGCCGCTGGAGACCCACAGCTCGATGGGGTATCTGAGGATGGTCTCGAGCGGTGGCAGCGGCACCCGGCTGAGCAGCTCCTCCCTCTTCCGCTCCACCTTCCTCGTCTCCTGGGAGTCCAGCTCTGAGACACAACGGGGCATGTTTGAGACTTTCTGTCATGACGTCACAATGTAACTGTAGTCGGAAATATCACTGTCATATGCTTCTTGATATATCCATCCCTCCCTATCTCCATACCCATTGAACACACAAGCTTTATTCCCTCCCCCAGCTTCGGACTAACTTCTCCAGCCTCCCACCCCAACATCCCCTCAAAACCCACCTGTCTTCTCCTCCCTGACACTTCCAACCCTCGCCACAGCCTCCCACCCCAACATCCCCTCCAAACCCACCTGTCTTCACCTCCAACCCTCTCCACAGCCTCCCACCCCCGACATCCCCTCCAAACCCACCTGTCTTCTCCTCCCTGACACTTCCAACCCTCTCCACAGCCTCCCACCCCAACATCCCCTCAAAACCCACCTGTCTTCACCTCCCTGACACCTCCAAACCTCTCCACAGCCTCCCACCCCAACATCCCCTCAAAACCCACCTGTCTTCACCTCCAACCCTCTCCACAGCCTCCCACCCAAACATCCCCTCAAAACCACCTGTCTTCACCTCCAACCCTCTCCACAGCCTCCCACCCAAACATCCCCTCAAAACCCACCTGTCTTCACCTCCAACCCAAACATCCCCTCCAAACCCACCTGTCTTCTCCCCCAACCCTCTCCACAGCCTCCCACCCCAACATCCCCTCAACACCCACCTGTCTTCACCTCCAACCCTCTTCACAGCCTCCCACCCAAACATCCCCTCAAAACCCACCTGTCTTCACCTCCAACCCTCTCCACAGCCTCCCACCCAAACATTCCCTCAAAACCCACCTGTCTTCACCTCCCTGACACCCCCAACCCTCTCCACAGCCTCCATCGCAAACATCCCCTCAAACCCACCTGTCTTCACCTCCAACCCTCTCCACAGCCTCCCACCCCAACATCCCCTTAAAACCCACCTGTCTTCACCTCCAACCCCCTCCACAGCCTCCCACCCGAACATCCCCTCAAAACCCACCTGTCTTCACCTCCCTGACACCTCCAACCCTCTCCACAGCCTCCCACCCCAACATCCCCTCAAAACCCACCTGTCTTCTCCTCACTGACACCTCCAAACCTCTCCACAGCCTTCCACCCAAACATCCCCTCAAACCCACCTGTCTTCACCTCCAACCCTCTCCACAGCCTCCCACCCCAACATCCCCTCAAAACCCACCTGTCTTCACCTCCAACCCTCTCCACAGCCTCCCACCCCAACATCCCCTCAAAACCCACCTGTCTTCACCTCCCTGACACCTCCAACCCTCTCCACAGCCTCCCACCCGAACATCCCCTCAAAACCCACCTGTCTTCTCCTCCCTGACACCTCCAAACCTCTCCACAGCCTCCCACCCCAACATCCCCTCAAAACCCACCTGTCTTCACCTCCAACCCTCTCCACAGCCTCCCACCCAAACATCCCCTCAAAACCCACCTGTCTTCACCTCCCTGACACCCCCAACCCTCTCCACAGCCTCCCTACTCAACATCCCCTCAAAACCCACCTGTCTTCACCTCCAACCCCCTCCACAGCCTCCCACCCGAACATCCCCTCAAAACCCACCTGTCTTCACCTCCAACCCTCTCCACAGCCTCCCACCCAAACATCCCCTCAAAACCACCTGTCTTTACCTCCCTGACACCTCCAACCCTCCCACCCCAACATCCCCTCAAAACCCACCTGTCTTCACCTCCAACCCCCTCCCACCCGAACATCCCCTCAAAACCCACCTGTCTTCACCTCCCTGACACCTCCAAACCTCTCCACAGCCTCCCACCCAAACATCCCCTCAAACCCACCTGTCTTCTCCTCCCTGACACCTCCAACCCTCTCCACAGCCTCCCACCCCAACATCCCCTCAAAACCCACCTGTCTTCACCTCCCTGACACCTCCAAACCTCTCCACAGCCTCCCACCCCAACATCCCCTCAAACCCCACCTGTCTTCACCTCCCTGACACCTCCAACCCTCTCCACAGCCTCCCACCCCAACATCCCCTCAAAACCCACCTGTCTTCACCTCCCTGACACCTCCAAACCTCTCCACAGCCTCCCACCCAAACATCCCCTCAAACCCACCTGTCTTCTCCTCCCTGACACCTCCAACCCTCGCCACAGCCTCCCACCCCAACATCCCCTCAAAACCCACCTGTCTTCACCTCCAACCCTCTCCACAGCCTCCCACCCCAACATCCCCTCAAACCCCACCTGTCTTCACCTCCCTGACACCTCCAACCCTCTCCACAGCCTCCCACCCAAACATCCCCTCAAATCCCACCTGTCTTCACCTCCAACCCTCTCCACAGCCTCCCACCCCAACATCCCCTCAAAACCCACCTGTCTTCACCTCCAACCCTCTCCACAGCCTCCCACCCCAACATCCCCTCAAACCCCACCTGTCTTCACCTCCAACCCTCTCCACAGCCTCCCACCCCAACATCCCCTCAAACCCACCTGTCTTCACCTCCAACCCTCTCCACAGCCTCCCACCCAAACATCCCCTCAAAACCCTCCTGTCTTCACCTCCCTGACACCTCCAACCCTCTCCACAGCCTCCCACCCCAACATCCCCTCAAATCCACCTGTCTTCACCTCCAACCCTCTCCACAGCCTCCCACCCAAACATCCCCTCAAAACCCACCTGTCTTCTCCTCCCTGGCATCCTGTTCCTCCCCAACATCCCCCGCCCCTCTCTCCTCCGTGTCGCCACCACCACGCTCATCCTCCTCAAACTGTTCCATGTTCTGCATGGCACGGGCAAGCTGTGAGTGCACCTCCTGCGAGGCTTGGTCCTGGAGGCCCACCCTGTTGTCTCCACCTTCGGGTATCGGGGTACCTGCTACAACCCAGTTGGACATTTTACAATTCTTGAATCAAATTGAATATATCTAAAGGATCATTTGCATTACAGAGCAAGTTAATCTATCACATCTGCAAACTGGTATCATTATATATATTTTTCTTCTTGGTGCCTTGATGTAAATGAAGTCCAATATTTGGGAAACTGAAACCATTTTAGTCTTTCAAATGCAATTCCCAGCTGATGAGGGTAGGGTAAGGATGTGGACATGTAGGGTAAGGATGTGGACATGTAAGTGACACGTGAAGACATCTCACACTCACATTGCTCACTGTCGCTGTTCTCCATCATGATGATCTTCTCGATGCGGTCGGCCATGACAGCCTTGTAGTTCTCCACGGCCCAGTCCACAAGATCGTCCATGTCCAGGATCAGCACTCCGTCCTCCGTGTACAGTCGCGTTGCTGGCTTGTTCAGGCTCAGCTGATGCGTGCACTGGTTCAGGATCTGGGGACACACGCATCATCAAATGAAACATCCTCTCTAGGTCTGTGACCCGACCTGTACCCTGTGTGCTATGTGTTCCCCTGTACATTGTGTGTGACCTGTGACACTTCCCCTATGCATTGTGTGTGACCTGTGACACTTCCCCTATGCATTGTGTGTGACCTGTGACACTTCCTGTCTACTACAATGTGACACTTCCCCTGTACATTGTGTGTGACCTGTGACACTTCCCCTGTACATTGTGTGTGACCTGTGACACTTCCTGTGTACATTGTGTGTGACCTGTGCCACTTCCCCTATGCATTGTGTGTGACCTGTGACACTTCCCCTATGCATTGTGTGTGACCTGTGACACTTCCTGTCTACTACAATGTGACACTTCCCCTGTACATTGTGTGTGACCTGTGACACTTCCCCTGTACATTGTGTGTGACCTGTGACACTTCCCCTGTACATTATGTGTGACCTGTGACACTTCCCCTGTACATTGTGTGTGACCTGTGACACTTTCCCTGTACATAATGTGTGACACTTCCCACGTACATTGTGTGTGACACTTCCCCTGTACATTGTGTGTGACCTGTGACACTTCCCCTGTACATAATGTGTGACACTTCCCACGTACATTGTGTGTGACACTTCCCCTGTACATTGTGTGTGACCTGTGACACTTCCCCTGTGCATTGTGTGTGACCTGTGACACTTCCCCTGTACATTGTGTGTGACCTGTGACACTTCCCCTGTGCATTATGTGTGACACTTCCCCTGTGCATTGTGTGACCTGTGACACTTCCCCTGTGCATTGTGTGTGACCTGTGACACTTCCCCTGTGCATTATGTGTGACACTTCCCCTGTGCATTGTGTGTGACCTGTGACACTTCCCCTGTGCATTGTGTGTGACCTGTGACACTTCCCCTGTGCATTGTGTGTGACACTTCCCCTGTACATTGTGTGTGACCTGTGACACTTCCCCTGTGCATTGTGTGTGACCTGTGACACTTCCCCTGTACATTGTGTGTGACCTGTGACACTTTCCCTGTACATAATGTGTGACACTTCCCCTGTGCATTGTGTGTGACACTTCCCCTGTACATTGTGTGTGACCTGTGACACTTCCCCTGTGCATTGTGTGTGACCTGTGACACTTCCCCTGTACATTGTGTGTGACCTGTGACACTTCCCCTGTGCATTATGTGTGACACTTCCCCTGTGCATTGTGTGTGACCTGTGACACTTTCCCTGTACATAATGTGTGACACTTCCCCTGTGCAATATGTGTGACACTTCCCCTGTGCAATGTGTGTGACCTGTGACACTTTCCCTGTACATAATGTGTGACACTTCCCCTCTACATTGTGTGTGACCTGTGACACTTCCCCTGTGCATTGTGTGTGACCTGTGACACTTCCCCTGTACATTGTGTGTGACCTGTGACACTTCCCCTGTGCATTATGTGTGACACTTCCCCTGTGCATTGTGTGTGACCTGTGACACTTTCCCTGTACATAATGTGTGACACTTCCCCTGTGCATTATGTGTGACACTTCCCCTGAACATAATGTGTGACACTTCCCCTGTACATTGTGTGTGACCTGTGACACTTCCCCTGTGCATTGTGTGTGACCTGTGACACTTCCCCTGTACATTATGTGTGACCTGTGACACTTCCCCTGTACATTGTGTGTGACCTGTGACACTTCCCCTGTACATTGTGTGTGACACTTCCCCTGTACATTGTGTGTGACCTGTGACACTTCCCCTGTGCATTGTGTGTGACCTGTGACACTTCCCCTGTGCATTGTGTGTGACCTGTGACACTTCCCCTGTACATTATGTGTGACCTGTGACACTTCCCCTGTACATTGTGTGTGACTTGTGACACTTTCCCTGTACATTGTGTGTGACCTGTGACACTTCCCCTGTACATTGTGTGTGACCTGTGACACTTTCCCTGTACATTGTGTGTGACCTGTGACACTTCCCCTGTACATTGTGTGTGACCTGTGACACTTCCCCTGTACATTGTGTGTGACCTGTGACACTTCCCCTGTACATTGTGTGTGACACTTCCCCTGTGCATTGTGTGTGACCTGTGACACTTGCCTTGTACATTGTGTGTGACCTGTGACACTTCCCCTGTACATTGTGTGTGACCTGTGACACTTCCCCTGTACATTGTGTGTGACCTGTGACACTTCCCCTGTACATTGTGTGTGACCTGTGACACTTCCCCTGTGCATTATGTGTGACACTTCCCCTGTGCATTGTGTGTGACCTGTGACACTTCCCCTGTGCATTATGTGTGACACTTCCCCTGTGCATTGTGTGTGACCTGTGACACTTCCCCTGTACATTGTGTGTGACCTGTGACACTTCCCCTGTGCATTATGTGTGACACTTCCCCTGTACATTGTGTGTGACCTGTGACACTTCCCCTGTACATTGTGTGTGACCTGTGACACTTCCCCTGTACATTGTGTGTGACCTGTGACACTTCCCCTGTGCATTGTGTGTGACACTTCCCCTGTGCATTGTGTGTGACCTGTGACACAACCCTTATAACATAGTGTGTGTAACTGCTGACTTGATTGTGAGATGACTTCTCTGTAACCTGAACAGTGTGTGAATCACCCTCCATTGTCTGACCTTGACCTATTCTGTATGTGACCTCTGATCCAACCTACCCTTGCCTGCTGTGACCTATGACCCAACCTACCCCTGCATGCAGTGACCTATGACCCAACCTACCCTGCCTGCTGTGAACTATGACCCAACCTACCCCTGCATGCAGTGACATCTGACCCAACCTACCCCTGCATGTTGTGACCTTTGACCCAAACCACCCCTGCATGCAGTGACCTATGACCCAACCTATCCCTGCATGTTGTGACCTATGACCCAACCTATCCCTGCATGCTGTGACCTATGACCCAACCTATCCCTGCATGTTGTGACCTTTGACCCAAACCACCCCTGCATGCAGTGACCTATGACCCAACCTATCCCTGCATGTTGTGACCTATGACCCAACCTATCCCTGCATGTTGTGACCTATGACCCAACCTATCCCTGCATGTTGTGACCTATGACCCAACCTACCCCTGCATGCTGTGACCTATGACCCAACCTATCCCTGCATGCTGTGACCTATGACCCAACCTATCCCTGCATGCAGTGACCTATGACCACAACCACCCCTGCAGGCTTTGTGACCTCTAATCCAAACCTACCCCTTGTATGCTAGATCCGTACACCTTCTCGCCAGCCCTCATTCTGCCCTCTCCATTCTTGTACATGAGCAGCTTGACAGTCCGCACAGACTTGGCTGCGGAGATCTGCCTGGCGATCGTCTTGACGCTGGTCTCCTCCCGGAGTGTTGTCAGACTCTCCTCCCAGTTGCGCAGAGTGATCTCCGCCTCAGGCGTCGACAGGTCCACCTTGCCATTCAGCACACAGAAACTTCCCACATGCCGCAACTTCAGCTTCCTAGCTGCAAACACAAAACATCCTCAGTCCAGCAGCATCTCTCAACAAGTTCAACTTTATCTCCTCTTAAGAATTATTTTGTAACCATTTTGCTATGCTAGCTAACCAATTCTTGCTTCCTTAGCTTTCCAACTACTGATAAAAAAACTTTGATATTTCTTCCCAGGGGGCATGGGTGGCCCAGTCGTCTAAGGCGCCGCGATTCGCTGTGCAGAGTTGCGTCCCTTGGGCACGCCGGAAACCTATGATTGTGGGTTCAAATCCCGGTTCGCCCTGATTATGTTTCTAGGTTTGTCAGCACCATACCCGTGCTCGTGGGTTTCACCGAAGTGGTAAACGTCTGAGACCTGCACCACTTCGGGCTTTCCTCCCACATTAAGCTGACACGCCGGGATATAACTGGATATGAATGAATGACTCCCTACCTTGTCCCATGGCACAGGCGAAGGGCTTGTTGTTGGGGAGTCGCTGCAGCTTGAAGCGCCCTCTCATGGCCCGGGCACAAGACAGACAGACCCGAATGTCGCGGTTCTTCCTGTCATTCACTTCTGCAATGTAGCCCTGTCGGAAATACAAACACCTTCGTCTTAAGTTTACTTAGATAATAACCTACGAGTCAGAGGATCATTTTGCCAAGTGTTTACAGTCGACACGGAACAGTTTCTCGGCTGAACAATTCATCATATCCACAAAGCTATTCGTACAAAACCCCTTCCACCATTCTCCATTACCCACAGTTATTGCAGTGTAGTGTCGTTTAATTAGACAGCTATTTTAAGCAGCATGAAGCTTTGCGTTTAACTCAAAATGGGATTCTTATTAGGCCTGCAACGATAAGGCGAATACAATTCATATCATGAATAAAGGGCAACAAATACGAATATAATTTCACGAATACAATAACAAGTCAGCAGCTGATTATTTGTTAACTTTCGTGAAACAATAACAACATAAATTATTTGACATGGTTTGTTCTTTATTAATATATTATATATTTATATACTGCACTTATCCAGATACTAGTATCTGCTCAAATGTGACAATGACCAGTGACCACAATACTGTCAAACTAAATGTTATAAGAGTGTGGTCTTCAAAGAAATCTATGCATATAATATGTTCTTATGGATATTTTTAGGTACAGGGTATGTAAATGCATATGCTTGCATAACCTAGTGGCCCCCAATAACAAATTCAATTCATGAATGGATAGGGTTCGATTCACCGAATACGCGAGTGAATCGTAACAGCCCTAGTACTTATTATGATAGTGAGTGTGTATGGTTTTACACAGCTTTAAGCAATATTCCGCAATATCGTGGCGGGGGAAACCAGAAATGGGCTTCACACATTGTACCCATGTCGAGAATCGAATCCTGGTCTTCGGCGCGACGAGCAATCGCTTTAACCACTAGGCTACGCGACCGCCCCTATTATGATAGAATGAAGATATGTTTCCACTGGGTCCTGGGTAGTTATCAGTACAGAATGGACATGTAATACAACTGCGGATAGTGGACCACACAAAGAAAGGTTTTAACTGAGCCGACTCACCGGCTGATCGATGACAGCAGCATGGGATACAGAGGATGTGCAGACGTCCGCCCGGTTGGCTGCTGTTATCTCTGAAACAGAAATAGTGGACTCCTTCACTTCCCATAAAGGCATAACACTCATTTGCTTCTCATAAACATAGAGAATTCATTCACTTCTCATGATTGTTCGCTGAACCAACCTTTATCATACTGGTTGGCATAGAAGGCGTATATAAAGCCGGTCTCTGCATCGTAGCGCCAGCGCTGGTGAGCCTTGCCATACTGAACCCACCTTTATCTTACTGGTCGGCTTAGAAGGCATATATAAAGCCTGTCTCTGCATCATAGCGCCACCGCTGGTGAGCCTTGCCATACTGAACCCACCTTTATCGTACTGGTTGGTGTAGAAGGTGTATATAAAGCCTGTCTCTGCATCGTAGCGCCACCGCTGGTGAGCCTTGCCATACTGAACCCACCTTTATCGTACTGGTCGGCGTAGAAAGCGTATATAAAGCCTGTCTCTGCATCGTAGCGCCACCGCTGGTGAGCCTTGCCATACTGAACCCACCTTTATCGTACTGGTCGGCGTAGAAAGCGTATATAAAGCCTGTCTCTGCATCGTAGCGCCACCGCTGGTGAGCCTTGCCATACTGAACCAACCTTTATCGTACTGGTCAGCGTAGAAAGCGTATATAAAGCCTGTCTCTGCATCGTAGCGCCACCGCTGGTGAGCCTTGCCATACTGGTTGAGTCGGCGAGCCTGCAGTGTCACTGCACACCCTGTGAAGGTCAAGGGACGGTTGTCGCCGTGGACGTTGGGCATCGCGATAGTCAGCGCCATCTGCTGGTTGTACTTGGAGCAGATCTCACTGGGGAATAGTGATATAAGACAGGATAAGTGAGATTTGTACTTGGAGCAGATCTCACTTGTGAACAAGATGTATCATCCCCTTTATTCCATGGCTTGGTCAACTATCTGGGACTCTGTAATGACATGGTCAACTGTCTGGGACACTGTAATGACATGGTCAACTATCTGGGACACTGTAATGACAAGGTCAACTATCTGGGACACTGTAATGACATGGTCAACTATCTGGGACACTGTAATGACATGGTCAACTATCTGGGACACTGTAATGACATGGTCAACTATCTGGGACACTGTAATGACATGGTCAACTGTCTGGGACACTGTAATGACGTGGTCAACTATCTGGGACACTGTAATGACATGGTCAACTATCTGGGACACTGTAATGACGTGGTCAACTATCTGGGACACTGTAATGACGTGGTCAACTATCTGGGACAGTGTAATGACATGGTCAACTATCTGGGACACTGTAATGACGTGGTCAACTATCTGGGACACTGTAATGACATGGTCAACTGTCTGGGACACTGTAATGACGTGGTCAACTATCTGGGACACTGTAATGACGTGGTCAACTGTCTGGGACACTGTAATGACGTCAACTATCTGGGACACTGTTATGACATGGTCAACTATCTGGGACACTGTTATGACGTGGTCAACTATCTGGGACACTGTAATGACATGGTCAACTATCTGGGACACTGTAATGACAAGGTCAACTATCTGGGACACTGTAATGACATGGTCAACTATCTGGGACACTGTAATGACGTGGTCAACTGTCTGGGACACTGTAATGACATGGTCAACTATCTGGGACAGTGTAATGACAAGGTCAACTATCTGGGACACTGTAATGACGTCAACTATCTGGGACACTGTAATGACAAGGTCAACTGTCTGGGACACTGTAATGACGTGGTCAACTATCTGGGACACTGTAATGACATGGTCAACTATCTGGGACACTGTAATGACAAGGTCAACTATCTGGGACACTGTAATGACATGGTCAACTATCTGGGACACGGTAATGACAAGGTCAACTGTCTGGGACACTGTAATGACATGGTCAACTATCTGGGACACTGTAATGACGTGGTCAACTGTCTGGGACACTGTAATGACATGGTCAACTATCTGGGACAGTGTAATGACGTGGTCAACTGTCTGGGACAGTGTAATGACAAGGTCAACTATCTGGGACACTGTAATGACGTGGTCAACTATCTGGGACACTGTAATGACGTGGTCAACTATCTGGGACACTGTAATGACATCAACTATCTGGGACACTGTAATGACGTGGTCAACTATCTGGGACACTGTAATGACGTGGTCAACTATCTGGGACACTGTAATGACGTGGTCAACTGTCTGGGACACTGTAATGACGTGGTCAACTGTCTGGGACACTGTAATGACGTGGTCAACTATCTGGGACACTGTAATGACGTGGTCAACTGTCTGGGACACTGTAATGACGTGGTCAACTATCTGGGACACTGTAATGACATCAACTATCTGGGACACTGTAATGACATGGTCAACTATCTGGGACACTGTAATGATGTGGTCAACTATCTTGGACGCTGTAATGACGTGGTCAACTATCTGGGACACTGTAATGACATCAACTATCTGGGACACTGTAATGACGTGGTCAACTATCTGGGACACTGTAATGACATGGTCAACTATCTGGGACACTGTAATGACGTGGTCAACTATCTGGGACGCTGTAATGACATGGTCAACTATCTGGGACACTGTAATGAAATCAACTATCTGGGACACTGTAATGACGTGGTCAACTATCTGGGACACTGTAATGACGTGGTCAACTATCTTGGACACTGTTATGACGTGGTCAACTATCTGGGACACTGTAATGACATCAACTATCTGGGACACTGTAATGACGTGGTCAACTATCTGGGACACTGTAATCACGTGGTCAACTATCTGGGACACTGTAATGACATGGTCAACTGTCTGGGACACTGTAATGACATCAACTATCTGGGACACTGTAATGACGTGGTCAACTATCTGGGACACTGTAATGACATGGTCAACTATCTGGGACACTGTAATGACATGGTCAACTGTCTGGGACACTGTAATGACGTGGTCAACTATCTGGGACACTGTTATGACGTGGTCAACTATCTGGGACACTGTAATGACATGGTCAACTATCTGGGACAGTGTAATGACATGGTCAACTGTCTGGGACACTGTAATGACGTGGTCAACTATCTGGGACACTGTAATGACATGGTCAACTATCTGGGACAGTGTAATGACGTCAACTATCTGGGACACTGCATTGATGTCAACTATCTGGGACAGTGTAATGACGTCAACTATCTGGGACACTGTAATGACATGGTCAACTATCTGGGACACTGTAATGACGTGGTCAACTATCTGAGACACTGTAATGACATGGTCAACTGTCTGGGACACTGTAATGACGTGGTCAACTATCTGGGACACTGTAATGACATGGTCAACTATCTGGGACAGTGTAATGACATGGTCAACTGTCTGGGACACTGTAATGACGTGGTCAACTATCTGGGACACTGTAATGACATGGTCAACTATCTGGGACAGTGTAATGACGTCAACTATCTGGGACACTGCATTGATGTCAACTATCTGGGACACTGTAATGACGTCAACTATCTGGGACACTGCATTGATGTCAACTATCTGGGACACTGTAATGACATGGTCAACTGTCTGGGACACTGTAATGACGTCAACTATCTGGGACACTGCATTGATGTCAACTATCTGGGACACTGTAATGACAAGGTCAACTATCTGGGACACTGCATTGATGTCAACTGTCTGGGACACTGTAATGACGTGGTCAACTATCTGGGACACTGTAATGACATGGTCAACTATCTGGGACAGTGTAATGACGTCAACTATCTGGGACACTGCATTGATGTCAACTATCTGGGACACTGTAATGACATGGTCAACTGTCTGGGACACTGTAATGACGTCAACTATCTGGGACACTGCATTGATGTCAACTATCTGGGACACTGTAATGACAAGGTCAACTATCTGGGACACTGCATTGATGTCAACTGTCTGGGACACTGTAATGACATCAACCGTCTGGGACACTGTAATGATGTGGTCAACTGTCTGGGACACTGTAATGACGTGGTCAACTGTCTGGGACACTGTAATGACATGGTCAACTATCTGGGACACTGTTATGACGTGGTCAACTATCTGGGACACTGTAATGACGTGGTCAACTATCTGGGACACTGTAATGACATGGTCAACTATCTGGGACACTGTAATGACGTGGTCAACTATCTGGGACACTGTAATGACGTGGTCAACTGTCTGGGACACTGTAATGACGTGGTCAACTATCTGGGACACTGTAATGACATGGTCAACTGTCTGGGACACTGTAATGACATGGTCAACTATCTGGGACACTGTAATGACGTGGTCAACTATCTGGGACACTGTAATGACATGGTCAACTGTCTGGGACACTGTAATGACATGGTCAACTGTCTGGGACACTGTAATGACGTGGTCAACTGTCTGGGACACTGTAATGACGTGGTCAACTATCTGGGACACTGTAATGACATGGTCAACTGTCTGGGACACTGTAATGACATGGTCAACTATCTGGGACACTGTAATGACGTGGTCAACTATCTGGGACACTGTAATGACATGGTCAACTGTCTGGGACACTGTAATGACATGGTCAACTGTCTGGGACACTGTAATGACGTGGTCAACTGTCTGGGACACTGTAATGACGTGGTCAACTATCTGGGACACTGCATTGATGTCAACTATCTGGGACACTGTAATGACATGGTCAACTGTCTGGGACACTGTAATGACGTCAACTATCTGGGACACTGCATTGATGTCAACTATCTGGGACACTGTAATGACAAGGTCAACTATCTGGGACACTGCATTGATGTCAACTGTCTGGGACACTGTAATGACGTGGTCAACTATCTGGGACACTGTAATGACATGGTCAACTATCTGGGACAGTGTAATGACGTCAACTATCTGGGACACTGCATTGATGTCAACTATCTGGGACACTGTAATGACATGGTCAACTATCTGGGACAGTGTAATGACGTCAACTATCTGGGACACTGCATTGATGTCAACTGTCTGGGACACTGTAATGACGTCAACTATCTGGGACACTGCATTGATGTCAACTATCTGGGACACTGTAATGACAAGGTCAACTATCTGGGACACTGCATTGATGTCAACTGTCTGGGACACTGTAATGACATCAACTGTCTGGGACACTGTAATGATGTGGTCAACTGTCTGGGACACTGTAATGACGTGGTCAACTATCTGGGACACTGTAATGACATGGTCAACTGTCTGGGACACTGTAATGACATGGTCAACTATCTGGGACACTGTAATGACGTGGTCAACTATCTGGGACACTGTAATGACGTGGTCAACTGTCTGGGACACTGTAATGACGTGGTCAACTATCTGGGACACTGTAATGACATGGTCAACTGTCTGGGACACTGTAATGACATGGTCAACTATCTGGGACACTGTAATGACGTGGTCAACTATCTGGGACACTGTAATGACATGGTCAACTGTCTGGGACACTGTAATGACATGGTCAACTGTCTTGGACACTGTAATGACGTGGTCAACTATCTGGGACACTGCATTGATGTCAACTATCTGGGACACTGTAATGACATGGTCAACTGTCTGGGACACTGTAATGACGTGGTCAACTGTCTGGGACACTGTAATGACGTGGTCAACTATCTGGGACACTGTAATGACGTGGTCAACTATCTGGGACACTGTAATGACATGGTCAACTATCTGGGACACTGCATTGATGTCAACTATCTGGGACACTGTAATGACGTGGTCAACTATCTGGGACACTGTAATGACGTGGTCAACTATCTGGGACACTGTAATGACATGGTCAACTGTCTGGGACACTGCAATGACGTGGTCAACTATCTGGGACACTGTAATGACGTGGTCAACTATCTGGGACACTGTAATGACCTGGTCAACTGTCTGGGACACTGTTATGACGTGGTCAACTATCTGGGACACTGTAATGACGTGGTCAACTATCTGGGACACTGTAATGACATGGTCAACTATCTGGGACACTGCATTGATGTCAACTATCTGGGACACTGTAATGACGTGGTCAACTATCTGGGACACTGTAATGACATGGTCAACTGTCTGGGACACTGCATTGATGTCAACTATCTGGGACACTGTAATGACGTGGTCAACTATCTGGGACAGTGTAATGACAAGGTCAACTATCTGGGACACTGCATTGATGTCAACTATCTGGAACACTGTAATGACGTGGTCAACTGTCTGGGACAGTGTAATGACATGGTGAACTATCTGGGACACTGTAATGACGTGGTCAACTATCTGGGACAGTGTAATGACATGGTCAACTGTCTGGGACACTGTAATGACATGGTCAACTATCTGGGACACTGTAATGACGTGGTCAACTATCTGGGACAGTGTAATGACAAGGTCAACTATCTTGGACACTGTAATGATGTCAATTGTCTTGGACAGTGTAATGACCTAGGGTACAAAGTGTTTCCCGCTACCCTGTAATAAACACAGCTGCCTACCCATTTTCCTTCATGACCCAGCGCTGGTTGATATCGTCCGGCCGCCGCTTCTGCAGGTACACATCGATGACCCGCCCTTCCTGTTCCTGGACCCCCAGCACCAGGCTGTGATTGGCTGAACAAGCAATGAAGCCGTCCTCGTACACGAACCGCTGGAGTGTGTCCCTGGACACACGGGGGGATGGGCGAGGCCTGTTGTGTCAAAAGAAGACGGCATCATGTTCTAGTGTTGTGTCAAGAGAAGACGGCATCATGTTCTAGTGTTGTGTCAAGAGAAGACGGCATCATGTTCTAGTGTTGTGTCAAGAGAAGACGGCATCATGTTCTAGTGTTGTGTCGAGAGAAGACGGCATCATGTTCTAGTGTTGTGTCAAGAGAAGACGGCATCATGTTCTAGTGTTGTGTCAAGAGAAGACGGCATCATGTTCTGGTGTTGTGTCAAGAGAAGACGGCATCATGTTCTGGTGTTGTGTCAAGAGAAGACGGCATCATGTTCTAGTGTTGTGTCGAGAGAAGACGGCATCATGTTCCAGTGTTGTGTCGAGAGAAGACGGCATCATGTTCCAGTGTTGTGTCAAGAGAAGACGGCATCATGTTCTAGTGTTGTGTCGAGAGAAGACGGCATCATGTTCTAGTGTTGTGTCATGCTGTGTTATGTGGTCATGTTGTGTCATGTTGTTAAACACTGCACTAAGCAATATTTCAGCTACATGACGCCGGTCTGCAAATAATCAAATCTGGACCAGACAGTCCAGTGATTGATATCTAGAGCATCACTCTACGCAACTTGGACACGATGACATGCATCATCCAAGTCAGCAAGCCCAAACACCCGATCCTGTAACTTGCCGCTTACAACAAGCATAGTCGTCTTTTCTGACAAGCATGGGTTGCTGAAGACCTATTGTAACCCAGATCTTCATGAGGGAATAATGATAGTATTCATGAAATACATATATATATATATGTGGTACTCTCAAAATACATCTCTTTAACAGATCTTCACTGGGGCAGCATCACAAGTGTGATCTTAAATTCCCATGCAGTCAGCTAAAGTCATAGGGTTGAAAATGCAAGAACAATGACCCACGTCTATATATCTTTCACAAGCTGCAGCTAAAAACAGAGAAATAACCAATCTGATTACTTGTTTCACACATTTTCTTTGCTAAGAGATGAGGTGAGGTGAAAAGGGGTTTAAAGTCACATCAAAGATTATTGCACTCATATAGCATGCGTATGTTTGTGTGTGGCTGCCTGTTCTAGTCAGAAGTAAAACCGGCTTTATAGTGCCATCCCACTGAGATACCATGCCACAGTTTAACATGAATACCCCACTCAGACACAGAGAACTGACTCCGAGCCGACTAGTCCTTGTTTGAGCCGCTTAATGCTTAATGCCAGGCAGGGTAACAACAAGTACCATTTTGGGGGGGGCTGCTGGGGACCTGATCTGATCTGTCCTGGAATCCCTACAGGGGGACAAGCATGGCTGCTGGAGACCTGTCCTGTCCTGGAATTCCTACAGGAAGACAAGCATGGGTGCTGGGGACCTGATCTGTCCTGGAATCCCTACAGGAAGACAAGCATGGCTGCTGGGGACCTGATCTGTCCTGGAATCCCTACAGGAAGACAAGCATGGCTGCTGGGGATCTGATCTGTCCTGGAATCCCTACAGGAAGACAAGCATGGGTGCTTGGTACCTGATCTGTCCTGGAACCCCTACAGGAAGACAAGCATGGCTGCTGGGGACCTGATCTGTCCTGGAACCCCTACAGGAAGACAAGCATGGGTGCTTGGTACCTGATCTGTCCTGGAACCCCTACAGGACGACAAGCATGGGTGCTGGGGACCTGATCTGTCCTGGAATCCCTACAGGAAGACAAGCATGGGTGCTGGGGACCTGGCCTGTCCTGGAATTCCTACAGGAAGACAAGCATGGCTGCTGGAGACCTGTCCTGTCCTGGAATTCCTACAGGAAGACAAGCATGGCTGCTGGAGACCTGTCCTGTCCTGGAATCCCTACAGGAAGACAAGCATGGCTGCTGGGGATCTGATCTGTCCTGGAATCCCTACAGGAAGACAAGCATGGGTGCTTGGTACCTGATCTGTCCTGGAACCCCTACAGGAAGACAAGCATGGCTGCTGGGGACCTGATCTGTCCTGGAACCCCTACAGGAAGACAAGCATGGGTGCTTGGTACCTGATCTGTCCTGGAACCCCTACAGGACGACAAGCATGGCTGCTTGGTACCTGATCTGTCCTGGAACCCCTACAGGAAGACAAGCATGGCTGCTGGGGACCTGATCTGTCTTGGAATCCCTACAGGAAGACAAGCATGGGTGCTGGAGACCTGATCTGTCCTGGAATTCCTACAGGACGACAAGCATGGCTGCTGGAGACCTGTCCTGTCCTGGAATTCCTACAGGAAGACAAGCATGGGTGCTGGGGACCTGATCTGTCCTGGAATCCCTACAGGAAGACAAGCATGGCTGCTGGGGACCTGATCTGTCCTGGAACACCTACAGTAAGACAAGCATGGCTGCTGGGGACCTGATCTGTCCTGGAATTCCTACAGGAAGACAAGCACGGGTGTTTGGGGCATGATCTGTCCTGGAATTCCTACAGGAAGACAAGCATGGGTGCTGGGGACCTGATCTGTCCTGGAATTCCTACAGGAAGACAAGCACGGGTATTTGGGGCATGATCTGTCCTGGAACCTCTACAGGAAGACAAGCATGGGTGCTGGGGACCCATCCTCTCCTATTCCTCACCGATATTTCTCATACAGGTCCTTGTTGGAGTACTTGACTGCCTCTGGGTCGCTGTCATCAAAACTGTTGCCGACATTTACCAGTCTCTCCCAGGGCCAGCGCAGGGTGTCCAGGCGTCTCTCAGACTTTAAGTGGGCGCGGTGGTGGGCGTTGCTGTAACAGAATGTAAGACATATAATTACATCACAGCACCAGTAGCTCAACAAAATACTCAACTTTGGACAATGATTAATACTCATGAAAATAGGCAACAACAAGAGAAAGGAATTACTGTTACAAATTCTGAAAAAGTGACTGATATTTAATCCGACTAATATACAAAAATAAAATAAGAGATCAATGAAAGTTAAACGATACAAAACTGAATTCAATGATCTTAGCATGCAAGGATATGATAACTAATACAGTGAGTGAATGAATGTTGTTTTATGCCAAAGTCATCAATAATCAGTCCTATCCTAGCAACCTTAACATAATTAATCCGGGCCAGTGGTTGAAAGCATGAGCACACTGTACACATGGTAATCATTCAATCGTTATTTCGGACAGGGGGTTCTCGGTAAGAATATAGGTCCCCAGCAACACTGGCTGGTTGTAAGAGGCAACTGAATGAGCTGTCAGACTCAGCCATTTGGTTGATTGCATGTACATGATATCGATGCTCACGATATCAATCACTGTATTGTCTTGTCTAGACTCAGTTAATTCCGTCATATTGTTGGAATATTGCTGAGTGCGTTGTGAAACAAACGTGCCTTATTTCAGGCATCTTTCTGGACAAGCAAGAGTGCCTGGATGGAGATTACTATATTGGTCATAATGATTAAACACTATTTAAGACAAAGTATCATACAGGTGTTCCGTTGTGAAATCTTCCTCCCCCTGATCTTCCTCCTGTCTGGCTGTTGTGTTAACCTCCCTGGCACGCTCCTCTGCCTCATCTTCCTCCCGAGTCCAACATTTGTTGACAACGACCTTCACATTGGGAGTCACACCACCCTCCATCTCCATCACAAAACCTGGAAGTATATCAACAGCGTTACACCACCCTCCATCTCCATCACAAAACCTGGAAGTATATCAACAGCGTCAAACCACCCTTGATCTGCATCACAAAACCTGGAAGTATATCACCAGCGTCACACCACCCTCCATCTCCCACACCACCCTCGACCTCCATTACAAAACCTGGAAGTATATCAACAGCGTTACACCACCCTCCATCTCCATCACAAAACCTGGAAGTATATCAACAGCGTCAAACCACCCTTGATCTGCATCACAAAACCTGGAAGTATATCAACAGCGTCACACCACCCTTGATCTGTATCACAAAACCTGGAAGTATATCAACAGCGTCACACCACCCTTGATCTGTATCACAAAACCTGGAAGTATATCAACAGCGTCACACCACCCTTGATCTGTATCACAAAACCTGGAAGTATATCAACAGCGTCACACCACCCTTGATCTGTATCACAAAACCTGGAAGCATATCAACAGCGTCACACCACCCTTGATCTGCATCACAAAACCTGGAAGTATATCAACAGCGTCACACCACCCTTGATCTGCATCACAAAACCTGGAAGTATATCAACAGCGTCACATCACCCTCCATCTCCCACACCACCCTCGATCTGCATCACAAAACCTGGAAGTATATCACCAGCGTCACACCACCCTCCATCTCCCACACCACCCTCGACCTCCATCACAAAACCTGGAAGTATATCACCAGCATCACACCACCCTCGACCTCCATCACAAAACCTGGTAGTATATCACCAGCATCACACCACCCTCGACCTCCATCACAAAACCTGGAAGTATATCAACAGCATCACACCACCCTCGATCTCCCACAACACCCTCGATCTCCCACACCACCCTCGATCTCCCACACACCCCTCGATCTTCATCACAAAACCTGGTAGTATATCACCAGCATCACACCTCCCTCGATCTCCATCGCTAACACACTAAAAGGATTGACGATATGAAAGCAATATTACCATCAAACCTAGGATTCGTTAAACTAGGAATTTATGAAACGAGAAATAGCTAACCAATTCAGCTGTCAAACATCATGACCAACGACCGAGACTGATTCAGCGTGGGAGATATTCTAACAGAAATGGTTCAAGGTAACGGTTCAATATTTTAGAGCAGCCTTTTTGGCCCTGATGTTAGAAGTTTGTGATAAACTGTCATGACAAATGCGTTAGCTGAACCATTCATATTCTGATCATCTTGGAAATTCTAAGTCAAAGAGACGGGTTCCCATTGTTTCCTTAAACACAACTTTTATTTACGTATGTGTGAGTTTTCTAGTGAGAGTGTGATCGTTTATACAAAACTGTGTGTCTCATGCTAGGTCAACAGGTATGAAACAAGGAAAGATGGGACTCCGCCCAATCAGGGAAACCCCCCGTACAAACCTTGAGGGTCCCTCAGAGCAACAAACTGGCGAATCTTGGCCACATCGGTGGAGAGCTGAGACAGAAGGAATCGGCGCTGCTGCTCCGTCTTGTTGAGTTTGGGGTCACTCCACTGCTCCCCGCACGTGACGAACACCAGCTGATCTCGCTGCAGACTCTGGAGGGTGAAGTGTTCCACACCCGTCTCGTCAAACATTCGGCGCGCGGCAAACGGCAGATCCAGGAGCGATGTACAGTGGTCCAGGAACTGCCAACAGTGAGTGAGTGAGTGAGTGAGTGAGGGTGGGTGAGTGAGTGAGTGAGTGAGTGAGTGAGTGAGTGAGTGAGTGAGTGAGTGAGTGAGTGAGTGAGTGAGTGAGTGAGTGAGTGAGTGAGGGTGAGTGAGTGAGTGAGTGAGTGAGTGAGTGAGTGAGTGAGGGTGGGTGTTTGGGTGGGTGGGTGAGTGAGTGAGTGAGTGAGGGAGGGAGGGTGAGTGAGTGAGTGAGTGAGTGAGTGAGTGAGTGAGTGAGTGAGTGAGTGAGTGAGTGAGTGTGTGAGTGAGTGTGGGTGGGTGTTTGGGTGGGTGAGTGAGTGAGTGAGTGAGTGAGTGAGTGAGGGTGGGTGTTTGGGTGAGTGAGTGAGTGAGTGAGTGAGTGAGTGAGTGAGTGAGTGAGTGAGTGAGTGAGTGAGTGAGGGTGGGTGTTTGGGTGGGTGGGTGAGTGAGTGAGTGAGGGAGGGTGAGTGAGTGAGTGAGTGAGTGAGTGAGTGAGTGAGTGAGTGAGTGAGTGAGTGAGTGTGTGTGTGAGTGAGTGAGGGTGGGTGTTTGGGTGGGTGAGTGAGTGAGTGAGTGAGTGAGTGAGTGAGTGAGTGAGTGAGTGAGTGAGTGAGAGTGAGTGAGTGAGTGAGTGAGTGAGTGAGTGAGGGTGAGTGAGTGAGTGAGGGTGGGTGAGTGAGTGAGTGAGTGAGTGAGTGAGTGAGTGAGTGAGTGAGTGAGGGTGAGTGAGTGAGTGAGTGAGTGAGTGAGTGAGTGAGTGAGGGTGGGTGGGTGAGTGAGTGAGTGAGGGTGGGTGAGTGAGTGAGTGAGTGAGTGAGTGAGTGAGGGTGGGTGTTTGGGTGGGTGGGTGAGTGAGTGAGTGAGTGAGGGAGGGTGGGTGGGTGAGTGAGGGAGGGAGGGAGGGAGGGAGGGTGGTTGGGTGGGTTGGTATGGGTGGGTGAGTGAGTGAGTGGGTGGTTGAGTGAGTGGTTGAGTGAGTGAGTGAGTGAGTGAGTGAGTGAGTGAGTGAGCGGGATTGAATGCTGTTATGACCAGCCCTTTACTGCCACAGGAAACCAGTTTTCTGGCAGTAATTCTTTATAAGGTTAGTGAGCAAGTGAATCAAGGACACACAAGACACCAAGCTGCTGGGATGTCAGGGTTGCTCTGTGATGCACCGGTTGATTTTCAAGTATCCATGTCATGACCAAAAGATTAACAGGCTAACATTTTACAACCAATCAGATTGAGGTATCAACATTTTACAACAAATCAGATTGAGGCATCAACATTTTACAACCAATCAGATTGAGGCATCAACATTTTACAACCAATCAGATTGAGGCATCAACATTTAACAACCAATCAGATTGAGGCATCAACATTTTAAAACCAATCAGATTGAGGCATCAACATTTTACGACCGATCAGATTAAAGCATCAACATCTTGACCAGGACTTACCATGAGAAACTCCAGCTCCCTGACGGTGAGGTCGCCAATGGTGACGTCGATGTCAACAGAGTCAGCATGATTCACAGGCGTGTCCTTCTTTCTGCCGCGTCCACCATCCTTCTTGTCCTTCTTGGGGGCCTCCTTCATCATCTGAGTGAGTGAGTGAGTGAGTGATGGGCTTTTAATGCCACTTTGAATGGTATTTCAGCGATATCAGTGTCAGCTTAAGGTGGGGGAAAACCCAATGTGATGCAAATTGCAATCTCATTAAAATCAGATCTCAGTTCTCGCTACCGCTAAACAAAGATCTGAGGACATCCCATTACGGGTCACGTCAGACCGACCTTGTGCGATCTTTGACTGACCAATGGAATGACCAATCAGAAGGCAGCTTTCTCATGCTTTATGGCACTATTTTCAAATTGGCGACTTCGCTTCGAAACATATTTTGACAAATTCTCGATTACAAATTTGAAACCTGAACAAACGAACATTCTGGAATGGCTAACAGATGGTCTAGATTGTATGGATTCAGTCGTTAAACCCGTAGCTATCGTTTGAAATACCCCGTGTTAAAGTGTTCGAGGTTGTATGATTAGAAATCACATTCCGACTGTCCCTTTCATGATCTGGTAAGCAACGCTCTGATTGGTCGGATGAAAGGTAGTTCTGACGTGACCCCTAATGGGATGTCTTTAGATCTTTGTTTAGCGGTAGCGAGAACTAAGGTCTGATTTTAATGAGATTGTGCAAATTGTGGCCTTTTGCCTTTTGGACACAAGCTGCTCCAGACAGACACACAGAAACACACACCAGTCTCTCATCAGTCCATGTTTCTACAGTACACAAGGTAAGCATGTTATCACTGTGGAGGACATACAATGACCAAGCAAAACAACAGGGCCCACTTGCACAAAGCGATCTTAGCGCTAAGATGATCGTAACTCCCATACTTTAGCATAGGCTTACAACAGTCTTAGAGCTAAGATCATTTTGTGCAAGTGGGCCCAGGTCTGAAGCAAGAGGAAAATCAAGGACAGATAACTTTAAATTGGAGACGTTATCTACAGGGTAACACTCATGACGTGCCAGGGGACAGTCGTCCATGTATGACATAATGTCAACAAGATAACAATATTCTTTTGGTGCATCTACAGAATGAATAGCCATATTAAAAACTCAAACAATCTTAGTTTGAGATCAATTAGTGGCAGAACCGAATGCAACTGGTTGAGGGAGCACAACATTAGTCCACAACATCTGGCAATATGCCCAAATTTGCTTCCACATCCCCGTCAGGCAAGCCTAGTTTAGTGTAGACAGCATCTGAGGTCCAGAGGACAGGGATAGTATCTGATGCCAGCTTTTATCTAGACAGCACTTACGGCTGTGCAAGGGTCTACAGGCGTCTGGGAGAATGTTTCAGCAACACTAAACTCATGGAAGAACTCTTCATTGTTAAAGGCAACTTGAATGGCATACGCTACCAGGAGGTATTGTTCGAGATCATGTTCTACCCTTTGCGCAAATGCAGGGACGTAACATCACGTTGCAGCAGGATGATGCCCGCCCACATGCTGTAACAGACTTGATGAGGCAGCATAATATTGCTGTGATGCCATGACAGGCTGTTTCTCCAGACCTCTCTCCACTGAACATGTCTGGGATGAGATAGTGAGTGAGTATGGTTTTACGCCGCTTTTAGCAATATTCCAGCAATATCACGGCGGGGGACACCAGATGGGCTTCACACATTGTACCCATGTCGGGAATCGAACCTGGGTCTTCGGCGCGACGAGTGAACGCTTTAACCACTAGGCTACCCGACCGCCCCGGGATGAGATGGAACGATGCCAACAACAGGACCAGAATCAGCCTGTAATGCTCAGAGGGCCCAATCTTTGGTTGACATTCGGAACAACATTCCCCAGGCTGGCTCGCCCGTATAATCGAAGATGGTGTTCACACCCGATTGTTTATTAGGTTGTTACACCACCCCTCACTTCGGTCATGTCGCTGTCTCCCGTTACCAGGTAGGTGTGTCACTCGGTCTCCCGTTACCAGGTAGGTGTGTCACTCGGTCTCCCGTTACCAGGTAGGTGTGTCACTCGGTCTCCTGTTACCAGGTAGGCGTGTCACTCGGTCTCCCGTTACCAGGCATCGGTTTTGTCAATGAATTTGTTATGACAAGACATTGATCAGACAGATGACCAAATGTTGTTATTTTCAGTAACATTTACACCACTTCATGTGAAGCGCAGTTACTTTTTTTCATTAGTATACTTAAGGTTTGAATTTCGCCGTGATGACAGTTACTGCAACCCTTGTTTATCACAGGTGTCAATGTAAAACAAAGTGGGTCACAATTATGGCACTGATCTCATTACAAAATTATTAATATTTTTACATACGGTAGACCTTTTCAGAACAAAACAAACTATCAGAGGTTACAGAGAAAACAAGCTTCTATGTCTCACCGTTGTCAAATTGGGCCCGACAATCTGTAGTGCTGTGGTTTTATCTCTCTCCCCATTCTTCATCACCCACAGACGCAGCGGAGCCACTGAAACAGTCAACTGGGAACTATAACCTCAGCATCGTGCTGTCCATGCTGCACATAGATCCTTGTAACCTTTGACCCATGCAGTCAAAACTACAAAGATGACATACAATTATAACATATCTGTTTGTTGTTTAACGCCGCACTAATCAATATCTCACCTATATGACGGTGGTCTGTAAATAATCGAGTCTTGACCAGACAATCTAGTGATTGACATCATGAGCATGGGTTGCTGAGGCCAATTGATAACAGTATCTCATTAAGCTTCTGGATTTTTTTTGTTCTCAAAGTACTAATTCCAATATTTTCTTCAAGCAAAGAAGTCTCTATATGGCTGAAATAATGCTCACTTACTTCAAGCAAAGAATAATGATACAATGAATAGGTGTTTCCATTCACTGATTCACTGATCAGAGATCCAGATAAGCTGCGTATCTGCGTAAAAAACGCATCAGAAATGCAGAAATACGCAGTAAAATAATATCCAAGTGTATCAAATACGCAACAAACATTACAGATACGCTACAAAAATAAAACTTGTGCGTATATTCAAAATATTGTGAAGTAACCCTGCGTATTCAATTGGCAAATAAGCAACTTATTTTGAAATTATAAACGGGCATTCCGTCAACCTTGCCAAACTCCACGATGACAGTTACATCATGATCATTTGCCATCACACTTGTGGAAGTATCGTGGTATTTTTGAGTCCTATAAAGCTCTTGAACCCACACAACACCAGTTTGCAGGGACTAGATGAATAGTGTTTTTAAATATTTAACTTAAATACCCACATGTGTAAAAACTAGTGGGTAACAGAAATTTGAATACCCAGATAGAATTACTGATACGCAGTGATTTTAAAATGCATGGGTAAAATACCCACAACACCAAAAGCTTATCTGGAGCTCTGAATGATGCATCACTAATTTACACCTGATCACACAAAGGTGCATACACAAACCTATGTATCAATTCATGTTTTAATTCTGTATCAATTTTTAAAAAGTAATATTTACACAGTAAACACCAGACCTGATATGATCTCAGACTACTTCGCTGACAATCATGAACCAATAGGCAGTATCAAAACAGGACAATATTACCCAAACATGTGTGCTTAACACAAATACCCTCCTGTCACTTGTCATCATGTACCTTGTGATAAGCCACGATATGCCTACCTCATGTACCTTGTGATACGCCTACCTCATGTACCTTGTGATACGCCTACCTCATGTACCTTGTGATAAGGTACATGAAACAGGCATATCACAAGATACATGAGATAGGCATATCACAAGATACATGAGATAGGCATATCACAAGGTACATGAGACAGGCATATCACAAATACATGAGACAGGCATATCACAAGGTACAGGAAACAGACATATCACAAGGTACAGGAGATAAGCATATCACAAGGTACAGGAGATAGGCATATCACAAGATACATGAGATAGGCATATCACAAGGTACATGAGACAGGCATATCACAAATACATGAGACAGGCATATCACAAGGTACAGGAAACAGACATATCACAAGGTACAGGAGATAAGCATATCACAAGGTACAGGAGATAGGCATATCACAAGGTACAGGAGATAGACACAAGATGGCAACAGTGCTGGACAGCCCTTACCTCCTGTAAGGCCGGACTTCTTGTCGGACTTGTGTAGCGGCGGGGCGTGTGGCATCAAGTAGCCCTCCATCGGCCAGTCATATCTCTGTCAACATTAAACAGTCACACAAAATCTTCAGGAGTCTCAGCACAAATTCTTTAGCTTTAACAAACATCCTGCAAGTTCAAGTAGAACTGACAAGTGTCTCCTAAAGTCCTGGGTACCTCCTGCAGCACTTACCTGACAGAACACAGGGATACAGCAAAGATCTGAACCTGAGTGCATTTGGCAGGTAATTTGTGAAATGACGTCGCTTTGTTCCAAATTAGGAGTTTGCTTTTACACATTATATTTTCTAAAAGTAAGAGGTATTTCAACATTGCCTTCAATACCTCTAAGTAGAAAGAAGACAAAAGCCTTTTCTTCTTTTTTGGCCATGTTATCAGAAAAATATATGTCATCTCTGTAGTCATGACCACAGTAACAGAATGCGGGAAATGTTTGATTCCAATTTGGGAATTGTTATTGGCAAGCAGCGTTTGAAATAGACATTGGCCCGAAGGCCCAAAGGCCCAAGGCCGACAGATTTGTTCTTGGGCTTACAGTTTTTCATTTCAGCAGTCCCTTACGGCCTGCAGTTTTTAAGTAATTATTTGTTAAGCATTATTTAAGTAATGTGATAAACATGATAAACAGAACTTTGATATTTATAAACAGTAGGATTAGACTTTTTAAATGGTGTGTGATGTAGTCGCAAAGATGTGTTACAAACTGATAATTTCCTTGATAAATGTAGGCTTCATGTATGAGCCCAGAGTCTGTGGGAACTTGGTGTGATGGCAGTAAAAGCTTCTGGTTGACTGGTTGTGTTTTGTAATTTATATTGCAAGAGTATGTCTCCCTGCTTCAGCTAAAATGTTTGGGTCTACAGTGTTTCCACTGGGCCTACAGTTTTTGAAATATGCTGGCTCTCAGTTTACTCTGCTGCGTTTTAGACAGTATTAGAATGACATTTGCTGCAGACAAGTGACAGGCCTTGTGTGACTATAACATAGTGAGTTACCTCATTGAGCTCTCCTTCCGTAGTGATGGGCCTTGTGTGACTATAAAACAGTGAGTTACCTCATTGAGCTCTCCTTCCGTAGTGACAGGCCTTGTGTGACTATAACATAGTGAGTTACCTCATTGAGCTCTCCTTCTGTAGTGATGGGCCTTGTGTGACTATAAAACAGTGAGTTACCTCATTGAGCTCTCCTTCCGTAGTGACAGGCCTTGTGTGACTATAACATAGTGAGTTACCTCATTGAGCTCTCCTTCCGTAGTGATGGGCCTTGTGTGACTATAAAACAGTGAGTTACCTCATTGAGCTCTCCTTCCGTAGTGACAGGCCTTGTGTGACTATAACATAGTGAGTTACCTCATTGAGCTCTCCTTCCGTAGTGATGGGCCTTGTGTGACTATAAAACAGTGAGTTACCTCATTGAGCTCTCCTTCTGTAGTGATGGGCCTTGTGTGACTATAAAACAGTGAGTTACCTCATTGAGCTCTCCTTCTGCAGTGATGGGCCTTGTGTGACTATAACATAGTGAGTTACCTCATTGAGCTCTCCTTCTGCAGTGACAGGCCTTGTGTGACTATAACACAGTGAGTTACCTCATTGAGCTCTCCTTCTGCAGTGACAGGCCTTGTGTGACTATAAAACAGTGAGTTACCTCATTGAGCTCTCCTTCTGCAGTGATGGGCCTTGTGTGACTATAAAACAGTGAGTTACCTCATTGAGCTCTCCTTCTGTAGTGATGGGCCTTGTGTGACTATAACACAGTGAGTTACCTCATTGAGGTCTCCTTCTGTAGTGACACGCCTTGTGTGACTATAACATAGTGAGTTACCTCATTGAGCTCTCCTTCTGCAGTGATGGGCCTTGTGTGACTATAAAACAGTGAGTTACCTCATTGAGCTCTCCTTCTGTAGTGATGGGCCTTGTGTGACTATAACACAGTGAGTTACCTCATTGAGGTCTCCTTCTGTAGTGACACGCCTTGTGTGACTATAACATAGTGAGTTACCTCATTGAGCTCTCCTTCTGCAGTGATGGGCCTTGTGTGACTATAACATAGTGAGTTACCTCATTGAGCTCTCCTTCTGTAGTGACAGGCCTTGTGTGACTATAACATTGTGAGTTACCTCATTGAGCTCTCCTTCCGTAGTGACACGCCTTGTGTGACTATAACATAGTGAGTTACCTCATTGAGCTCTCCTTCTGCAGTGATGGGCCTTGTGTGACTATAAGACAGTGAGTTACCTCATTGAGCTCTCCTTCTGTAGTGACAGGCCTTGTGTGACTATAACATAGTGAGTTACCTCATTGAGCTCTCCTTCTGCAGTGATGGGCCTTGTGTGACTATAAGACAGTGAGTTACCTCATTGAGCTCTCCTTCTGTAGTGATGGGCCTTGTGTGACTATAACATAGTGAGTTACCTCATTGAGCTCTCCTTCTGCAGTGATGGGCCTTGTGTGACTATAAGACAGTGAGTTACCTCATTGAGCTCTCCTTCTGTAGTGATGGGCCTTGTGTGACTATAACATAGTGAGTTACCTCATTGAGCTCTCCTTCTGTAGTGACAGGCCTTGTGTGACTATAACATTGTGAGTTACCTCATTGAGCTCTCCTTCTGCAGTGATGGGCCTTGTGTGACTATAAGACAGTGAGTTACCTCATTGAGCTCTCCTTCTGTAGTGACAGGCCTTGTGTGACTATAACATAGTGAGTTACCTCATTGAGCTCTCCTTCTGCAGTGATGGGCCTTGTGTGACTATAAGACAGTGAGTTACCTCATTGAGCTCTCCTTCTGTAGTGATGGGCCTTGTGTGACTATAACATAGTGAGTTACCTCATTGAGCTCTCCTTCTGCAGTGATGGGCCTTGTGTGACTATAAGACAGTGAGTTACCTCATTGAGCTCTCCTTCTGTAGTGACAGGCCTTGTGTGACTATAACATAGTGAGTTACCTCATTGAGCTCTCCTTCTGCAGTGATGGGCCTTGTGTGACTATAAGACAGTGAGTTACCTCATTGAGCTCTCCTTCTGTAGTGATGGGCCTTGTGTGACTATAACATAGTGAGTTACCTCATTGAGCTCTCCTTCTGCAGTGATGGGCCTTGTGTGACTATAAGACAGTGAGTTACCTCATTGAGCTCTCCTTCTGTAGTGATGGGCCTTGTGTGACTATAACATAGTGAGTTACCTCATTGAGCTCTCCTTCTGTAGTGACAGGCCTTGTGTGACTATAACATTGTGAGTTACCTCATTGAGCTCTCCTTCCGTAGTGACACGCCTTGTGTGACTATAACATAGTGAGTTACCTCATTGAGCTCTCCTTCTGCAGTGATGGGCCTTGTGTGACTATAAGACAGTGAGTTACCTCATTGAGCTCTCCTTCTGTAGTGACAGGCCTTGTGTGACTATAACATAGTGAGTTACCTCATTGAGCTCTCCTTCTGCAGTGATGGGCCTTGTGTGACTATAAGACAGTGAGTTACCTCATTGAGCTCTCCTTCTGTAGTGACAGGCCTTGTGTGACTATAACATAGTGAGTTACCTCATTGAGCTCTCCTTCTGCAGTGATGGGCCTTGTGTGACTATAAGACAGTGAGTTACCTCATTGAGCTCTCCTTCTGTAGTGATGGGCCTTGTGTGACTATAACACAGTGAGTTACCTCATTGAGCTCTCCTTCCGTAGTGATGGGCCTTGTGTGACTATAACACAGTGAGTTACCTCATTGAGCTCTCCTTCTGTAGTGATGGGCCTTGTGTGACTATAACACAGTGAGTTACCTCATTGAGCTCTCCTTCTGCAGTGATGGGCCTTGTGTGACTATAAGACAGTGAGTTACCTCATTGAGCTCTCCTTCTGTAGTGATGGGCCTTGTGTGACTATAACACAGTGAGTTACCTCATTGAGCTCTCCTTCTGTAGTGATGGGCCTTGTGTGACTATAACACAGTGAGTTACCTCATTGAGCTCTCCTTCTGTAGTGATGGGCCTTGTGTGACTATAACATAGTGAGTTACCTCATTGAGCTCTCCTTCTGCAGTGATGGGCCTTGTGTGACTATAAGACAGTGAGTTACCTCATTGAGCTCTCCTTCTGTAGTGATGGGCCTTGTGTGACTATAACACAGTGAGTTACCTCATTGAGCTCTCCTTCTGTAGTGACAGGCCTTGTGTGACTATAACACAGTGACTTACCTCATTGAGCTCTCCTTCTGTAGTGATGGGCCACGAGTAAGCCAGCTTGTGCCACTCAGAGTTTCTAGCCTGCGTGTACTTCCACTGTCCCAGGTTGTCAAACTTTTCCTGCTTCAGACCAAACCTGTAAAACAGGGTCAGCTTCAGTACAACAGCCAGGGGAGGGATCATTCGTAGCGATTTGAACCTCGGCCATCAACATCACAAGCCAAGGAACTACCAACTAGGCTCACTCTGACGTAAATTATCCTGAACCAACAGGGAGACAAGGGTGGGTACTGGGGACCTAGTTTATCCTGAACCAACAGAGAGACAAGGGTGAGGTACTCGGGACCTAGTTTACCCTGAACCCACAGAGAGACAAGGGTGAGGTACTGGGGACCTAGTTTATCCTGAACCCACAGAGACAAGGGTGAGGTACTGGGGACGTAGTTTACCCTGAACCCACAGAGAGACAAGGGTGAGGTACTGGGGACCTAGTTTATCCCGGCACCCACTAGGAGACAAGGGTGAGGTACAGGGGACCTAGTTTATCATGAACCCACAGAGAGACAAAGGTGAGGTACTGGGGACCTAGTTTATCCTGAACCCATGGTAACTGCAGAAGCCAAAGATGTCGTTAATCTGTGACACCCACCTCTGACAGGAGCCCTCCTTCCTTGACTTGGGTTCCGACACGATAAGATACACGCGGACTCCGGACTTGCTGCCCTCTGGGGGATTCTCCGTATACGACTCGTCATCTCCAAACTTGTTGCCGAGATAGGTCAGCACTTTGTCGGGACATGCCTATAAACAAAAACATGGATATCTTCAAATGTGTCAATCATGTGACATGAAGAAGTTTATTGATCACACCAGACTGGAGCATCAGAATAAGCTTTCATCAGAACTAACACTCTAACTGAGCTGGGAGGAGTTATGATTTGAGATGTTGATTGATTATGAATGTTTTATTGGTCCCTAACCCGATGTTACGACTGACTGAAACATAATAATTGTTTCAACTATAAACTTGTAGTGTGGTATTGTTGACAGAGAGGTGTCTTGTTGTATTGTTGACAGAGAGGTGTCTTGTAGTGTTGTATTGTTGGCCGAGTTGTCTTGCTGTGTTGTATTATGTTGTGGTAGTGCAGAGAGACGTGTTTGTTTGTTTTCTGTTCACAGGGGGAGACAAGCATTGGTTGCTGAAGGCCAATCTAACCAGGATGTTCACAGGGGCAGACAAGCATGGGTTGCTGAAGGCCAATTCTAACCAGGATGTTCACAGAGGCAGACAAGCATGGGTTGCTGAAGGCCAATTGTAACCCAGATGTTCACAGGGGGAGACAAGCATGGGTTTCTGAAGGCCAATTGTAACCCGGCTGTTCACAGGGAGAGACAAGCATTGGTTTCTGAAGGCCAATTCTAACCCGGCTGTTCACAGGGGGAGACAAGCATGGGTTTCTGAAGGCCAATCTAACCCGGATGTTCACAGGGGGAGACAAGCATTGGTTTCTGAAGGCCAATTCTAACCCGGATGTTCACAGGGGGAGACAAGCATGGGTTGCTGAAGGCCAATTCTAACCCGGCTGTTCACAGGGGGAGACAAGCATGGGTTTCTGAAGGCCAATCTAACCCGGATGTTCACAGGGGGAGACAAGCATTGGTTTCTGAAGGCCAATTCTAACCCGGATGTTCACAGGGGGAGACAAGCATGGGTTTCTGAAGGCCAATTGTAACCCAGATGTTCACAGGGGGAGACAAGCATGGGTTGCTGAAGGCCAATTGTAACCCGGATGTTCACAGGGGGAGACAAGCATGGGTTGCTGAAGGCCAATTGTAACCCAGATGTTCACAGGGGGAGACAAGCATGGGTTGCTGAAGGCCAATTCTAACCCGGATGTTCACAGGGGGAGACAAGCATGGGTTGCTGAAGGCCAATTCTAACCAGGATGTTCACAGGGGGAGACAAGCATGGGTTGCTGAAGGCCAATCTAACCCGGATGTTCACAGGGGAGACAAGCATGGGTTGCTGAAGGCCAATCTAACCCAGATGTTCACAGGGGAGACAAGCATGGGTTGCTGAAGGCCAATCTAACCCGGATGTTCACAGGGGAGACAAGCATGGGTTGCTGAAGGCCAATCTAACCCGGATGTTCATGAGGACAGAGTCATGTGTATCAGTGTTGTAGCATAACAGTCAGTTGTGTCTGGTGGTGTTGTGTTGTCAGAGAGATATTGTATTTTCCTGAGTTCTTCAACAGATGTGCTGTGATGTGTTGTAGTTTGCCTGAGAGGTGTTGTACATGTTATGTCATGTTGTATCATATTGTGTCAGGCTGTGTTATATTACTGTGTTGCGTCATATTGTGTCATTTCATGTCATACTGTGCCATGTTGTGGCATATTGTGTTATGTCATATTGTGTCTTTCTGTTATTTTGTGCCATGTCATGTTGTGTCATATTGTGTCTTGCTGTGTCATCTTGTGTCGTATCATGTCATGTCATATTGTGTCTTTCTGTCATATTGTGTCATGTCATGTTGTGTCATATTGTGTCTTGCTGTGTCATATCATGTCATGTCATGTCATATTGTGCTGTGTCATATTGTGTCATGTCATGTGTCTTGCTGTGTCATCTTGTGTCATATCATGTCATATTGTGTCATGTCATGTCATATTGTGCTGTGTCATATTGTGTCATGTCATTGCATGTGATATTGTGTTGTGTCATATGGTGTCCTTTCATGTCATGTCATATTGTCTCATGTCATGTCATATTGTGTTGTGTCACCGTGATACAGAAGACACTCACCACAGATGCGATGGTGGCATCCGTCGTAAACTTCCACATCTGGTTGGGGTTCTGTGCCATCTTCTTCTGCAGTGTGACGACCTGTCCCTCCATCTCCGCGTCTCGGTCAAAGAAGCGTCCCTTCACTGTCGTGTCGGACACACCCAGACACAGCTGAGGCATGAACTTACATATGATGTAGCCGGACTGTCGGGACAACAATGTAGATATCACAACAATGTACACATGTTAGGTAGGTTCATATGTAAAACTATAAGCAATGAAATATTAAACAATCAAACCAATGTTAACATTAAAACAAAGTAGATATGACACAGCCCCAAATCATGCCCGACTCACTCCTCCCTGTGAGAAAAGGGACTTTTATGTTCAGACAAAGAATTTTCATTTTTTCTGGACTTTAATCCACTTGTTGTTAATGTGAAGACTTATTACATCTGATATTCCAGTGTACAATTTGTGGAACAACGCACCTGGAACCTGCATACAGGCCCCTTACTGTACATTCAACATATCAAAGTAGATCTGTCAGTTCACTTGCCCCTGCTAAGAGAATAACCACACTGTCATGCGGAAATCTCAATTATCTTTCACGAATAAATGAATGGACCAAGCAAACCCTTATAGGTGATAAACATCCAGCCAGACACTGCCGACCTACATCCACTCACCCACCTACCACTGACACTGCCGACCTACATCCACTCACCCACCTACCACTGACACTGCTGACCTACATCCACTCACCCACCTACCACTGACACTGCCGACCTACATCCACTCACCCACCTACCACTGACACTGCTGACCTACATCCACTCACCCACCTACCACTGACACTGCCGACCTACATCCACTCACCCACCTACCACTGACACTGCTGACCTACATCCACTCACCCACCTACCACTGACACTGCTGACCTACATCCACTCACCCACCTACCACTGACCTACATCCACTCACCCACCTACCACTGACACTGCCGACCTACATCCACTCACCCACCTACCACTGACACTGCCGACCTACATCCACTCACCCACCTACCACTGACACTGCCGACCTACATCCACTCACCCACCTACCACTGACACTGCCGACCTACATCCACTCACCCACCTACCACTGACACTGCTGACCTACATCCACTCACCCACCTACCACTGACCTACATCCACTCACCCACCTACCACTGACACTGCCGACCTACATCCACTCACCCACCTACCACTGACACTGCCGACCTACATCCACTCACCCACCTACCACTGACACTGCCGACCTACATCCACTCACCCACCTACCACTGACACTGCCGACCTACATCCACTCACCTACCACTGACACTGCTGACCTACATCCACTCACCCACCTACCACTGACACTGCCGACCTACATCCACTCACCCACCTACCACTGACACTGCCGACCTACATCCACTCACCCACCTACCACTGACACTGCCGACCTACATCCACTCACCCACCTACCACTGACCTACATCCACTCACCTACCTACCACTGACACTGCCGACCTACATCCACTCACCCACCTACCACTGACACTGCTGACCTACATCCACTCACCCACCTACCACTGACACTGCTGACCTACATCCACTCACCCACCTACCACTGACACTGCCGACCTACATCCACTCACCCACCTACCACTGACACTGCCGACCTACATCCACTCACCCACCTACCACTGACACTGCCGACCTACATCCACTCACCCACCTACCACTGACACTGCTGACCTACATCCACTCACCCACCTACCACTGACACTGCCGACCTACATCCACTCACCCACCTACCACTGACACTGCTGACCTACATCCACTCACCCACCTACCACTGACACTGCCGACCTACATCCACTCACCCACCTACCACTGACCTACATCCACTCACCCACCTACCACTGACACTGCTGACCTACATCCACTCACCCACCTACCACTGACACTGCCGACCTACATCCACTCACCCACCTACCACTGACACTGCTGACCTACATCCACTCACCCACCTACCACTGACACTGCCGACCTACATCCACTCACCCACCTACCACTGACCTACATCCACTCACCCACCTACCACTGACACTGCTGACCTACATCCACTCACCCACCTACCACTGACACTGCCGACCTACATCCACTCACCCACCTACCACTGACACTGCCGACCTACATCCACTCACCCACCTACCACTGACACTGCTGACCTACATCCACTCACCCACCTACCACTGACACTGCCGACCTACATCCACTCACCCACCTACCACTGACACTGCCGACCTACATCCACTCACCCACCTACCACTGACACTGCTGACCTACATCCACTCACCCACCTACCACTGACCTACATCCACTCACCCACCTACCACTGACACTGCCGACCTACATCCACTCACCCACCTACCACTGACACTGCCGACCTACATCCACTCACCCACCTACCACTGACACTGCCGACCTACATCCACTCACCCACCTACCACTGACACTGCCGACCTACATCCACTCACCCACCTACCACTGACACTGCTGACCTACATCCACTCACCCACCTACCACTGACACTGCATGATTGACAGGCCTACAAATGGCGTACATGGAAAGATTTAAAACATAACGTTGAGACTCATTTTGTAGTGTGAGCCCGTTCTGAGCGAGTGGTTGTCAAGGTAACGGACCTGTGTGATGACCCATGTCTGCAGTTCCTTCCTGCGACGGACTTCACTCTCCCCCGGGCGCTTGTCATCGGGACGCAGACGGAACTTCTCATTGACAACAAGCTCTGGGTACAGCGCCAGGTCCTTGCGTTTCTGTAACAGACAGGGCATGATTATCTTGTACAAGTCATTCTGATCTCAGGGCGCAATTCTCAATATGATTCATCTCCCAACAAACTATACTGCCAACCAATAAAAAAAATGGCAGTTTGTCCATCAACTTTTAACCTTTAAAACCATCAGAGCATGATTTTCCTGTACAAAACACATGTTTTAGAGTTAGTTCTCAAAATGTCTCTGAAGTCTTTTTTAAACCCTCAGCCCATCTAACTAAAGGACAAGTTAAGAAATCAATTCCCATCCTACATTGAAGTCAGTGCCATGTCCCATATCTAATGCCAAATGTGAGTGAGTGAGTTGGGTTTAACGCCGCTTTCCGGTTATATCACGGTGTGTCAGCTTAATGTGGGAGGAAAGCCCGAAGTAATCATGCTAAATGTGAAGATTATGTTCAAATCACATAATACTAAAAAGTATCACATATGTTCATCCAAACAATTACCTGTGGCAAAATTGATTTTCTTGAACAACAGCAGAAACCAATATATCACCAGTGTCATGAACAGCATAGAAACAAAAAAAACAGCAGCACCCTGACCTTATGTAGCAGGTAGAAGCCTCGTTCATCGACCTCCGCACACTCCGTCATCCACTTCATCTTGTCCGGGTCCTGCATCATCAGATTAGCCATGGCAGACTCGTACATCACAGGGAAGCCGATGGTCGCATCCCACTGGCCATGTCTGAAGGAGAAACACAGAGTTGTACTATGTTCCATACAACTACAGACGCTATCATGCATCCTACAAGGATTAACTTAGAACAAACTACTTTCATTACAACTACAGATGCTATCATACAACTTACAAGTATTAACTTGGAAAATACTACTTTCATTACAACTATAGACGCTAAAATACAACTTACAAGTATTAACTTAGAACAAACTACTTTCATTACAACTACAGATGCTATTATACAACTTACAAGTATTAACTTGGAAAATACTACTTTCATTACAACTACAGATGCTATTATACAACTTACAAGTATTAACTTAGAACAAACTACTTTCATTACAACTACGGATGCTATTATACAACTTACAAGTATTAACTTGGAAAATACTACTTTCATTACAACAACAGACGCTATCATACAACTTACAAGTATTAACTTGGAAAATACTACTTTCATTACAACAACAGATGCTATTATACAACTTACAAGTATTAACTTAGAACAAACTACTTTCATTACAACTACAGATGCTATCATACAACTTACAAGTATTAACTTAGAACAAACTACTTTCATTACAACTACAGATGCTATTATACAACTTACAAGTATTAACTTAGAACAAACTACTTTCATTACAACTACAGATGCTATCATACAACTTACAAGTATTAACTTGGAAAATACTCCTTTCATTACAACTACAGATGCTATTATACAACTTACAAGTATTAACTTGGAAAATACTACTTTCATTACAACAACAGATGCTATCATACAACTTACAAGTATTAACTTGGAAAATACTACTTTCCTTACAACTACAGATGCTATCATACAACTTACAAGTATTAACTTAGAATTTACTACTTTCCTTATTTTGCCACAAGTTCTACCTTTTGTTTTGTTTGTTGTTTAACGCCACACTCAAAAACAAGCTACATGATGGCAGTCTAAATAATTGAGTCATCACGCAGACAAGCCAACGATTGACATCATGACCGTCATTCTACACATTTGGGATAAAATGACAAGCATCAAACAAGCCAGTGAGCCTGACCGTCCGATTGCGTTAGTCGTCTCTTATGACCGGTTCTAACCCTGATCTTCTCAGGGATGCTCTACGTACTCGTCAGTGGCCTGGGCGTCTTCCTGCATCAATGGTTCACGCACCACATGAGTGGCTCCTTCGATCTCCAGCTTGGTGGCCTTGTCGAAGAAAAGCTCCACGCAGTAGGCTGCAAATATGACGACAACTTGCAATACATGAAAAACAAACATGAAATACCAAAGACAGCGAATTGCGGCGCCTTAGATGACTATAATTTGTCTACTGCTAATCACCATTTGTCTACTGCTAATTACCATTTGTCTACTGCTAATTACCACTTGTCCACTGCTAATTACCACTTGTCCACTGCTAATTACAACTTGTCCACTGCTAATCACCATTTGTCCACTGCTAATTACCATTTTTCCACTAATGGTACAATGTGTGAAGCACAATTTTGGGTGTCTCCTACTGTCATATTGCTGGAATATTGCTAAAAGCGGCATAAAACCATACTCACTCACTCATAATAAAGAAATTGACATCCATACATTCTCTCTCTTATGATTAAACATAATCGCTTCTTATGACAAACAATAGAATGCTTGGGACATATTCTCGGTCAGATTGTGTTTGGGGTTGTAGGTCTTGGTGATATGCCGGTACTCACTGAAGGGGCAGATGAAGGCCTCGCCATACGACACCCACACCTCCTGCTCAGACTCCAGAGCCAATACATTGGTGATCTCGCGACCGTACTTGTCGTACAGCTTTTGAGCGACGGCGTTCAGTTTGGGGTTGACTCCCCCCGACGACCAGTACCCTGTCGACAGCTCATCCAGCAACTGTAGGCATCAGTAGATACATGTAAACATTTATAGTCCTCAAACTGAGATCACTGATTCTATTAGCATCAACTGATCTGCAAAGACATCCATGAGCCTGAACAGCAACTCATTCTCAAAATGTCTTAAACAATTCTACTGTTGTTTGAAATAAAACATTATCAACTGACCTGTAGAGATATTGATAAAACCTGTGGATAGATCATCCAGCTGATGTAGGAAGTAAATGCAGCACTCTTAAAATTTCCCCAGAGATGGTTAGCTGATCCTAAAACTCTGACTACTGACGCAGATGGATGCTAATAAATCACCAGATCCATTCTACTGCCTTTCGGGACAAGCAGCCAGACCACCAGATCCATTCTACCGCCTTTCAGGACAAGCATCCAGGCCACCAGATCCATTCTACCGCCTTTCAGGACAAGCAGCCAGACCACGAGATCCATTCTACCACCTTTCAGGACAAGCAGCCAGACCACCAGATCCATTCTACTGCCTTTCAGGACAAGCAGCCAGACGACCAGATCCAATCTACTGTCTTTCAGGACAAGCAGCCAGACCACCAGATCCATTCTACCGCCTTTCAAGACAAGCATCCAGGCCACCAGATCCATTCTACCGCCTTTCAGGACAAGCAGCCAGGCCACCAGATCCATTCTACCACCTTTCAGGACAAGCAGCCAGACCACGAGATCCATTCTACTGCCTTTCAAGACAAGCATCCAGGCCACCAGATCCATTCTACCGCCTTTCTGGACAAGCAGCCAGACCACCAGATCCATTCTACTGCCTTTCAAGACAAGCATCCAGGCCACCAGATCCATTCTACTGCCTTTCAAGACAAGCATCCAGACCACCAGATCCATTCTACCACCTTTCTGGACAAGCAGCCAGACCACCAGATCCATTCTACTGCCTTTCAGGACAAGCAGCCAGACCACCAGATCCATTCTACCGCCTTTCAGGACAAGCAGCCAGACCACCAGATCCATTCTACTGCCTTTCAGGACAAGCAGCCAGACCACCAGATCCATTCTACTGCCTTTCAGGACAAGCAGCCAGACCACCAGATCCATTCTACCACCTTTGAGGACAAGCAGCCAGACCACCAGATCCATTCTACTGCCTTTCAGGACAAGCAGCCAGGCCACCAGATCCATTCTACTGCCTTTCAAGACAAGCAGCCAGGCCACCAGATCCATTCTACTGCCTTTCTGGACAAGCAGCCAGACCACGAGATCCATTCTACCACCTTTCAGGACAAGCAGCCAGACCACCAGATCCATTCTACTGCCTTTCTGGACAAGCAGCCAGACCACGAGATCCATTCTACCACCTTTCAGGACAAGCAGCCAGACCACCAGATCCATTCTACTGCCTTTCAGGACAAGCAGCCAGACCACGAGATCCATTCTACCACCTTTCAGGACAAGCAGCCAGACCACGAGATCCAATCTACCACCTTTCAGGACAAGCAGCCAGACCACCAGATCCATTCTACTGCCTTTCAGGACAAGCAGCCAGACCACGAGATCCATTCTACTGCCTTTCAAGACAAGCAGCCAGGCCACCAGATCCATTCTACTGCCTTTCAGGACAAGCAGCCAGACCACCAGATCCATTCTACTGCCTTTCAGGACAAGCAGCAAGACCACCAGATTCATTCTACTGCCTTTCAGGACAAGCAGCCAGACCACCAGATCCATTCTACTGCCTTTCAGGACAAGCAGCCAGACCACCAGATTCATTCTACTGCCTTTCAGGACAAGCAGCCAGACCACCAGATCCATTCTACTGCCTTTCAGGACAAACAGCCAGACCACCAGATCCATTCTACTGCCTTTCAGGACAAGCAGCCAGACCACCAGATCCATTCTACTGCCTTTCAGGACAAGCAGCCAGACCACCAGATCCATTCTACTGCCTTTCAGGACAAGCAGCCAGACCACCAGATCCATTCTACCACCTTTCAGGACAAGCAGCCAGGCCACCAGATCCATTCTACCACCTTTCAGGACAAGCAGCCAGACCACCAGATCCATTCAACCATCTTTCAGGACAAGCAGCCAGGCCACCAGATCCATTCTACTGCCTTTCAGGACAAGCAGCCAGACCACCAGATCCATTCTTCTGCCTTTCAGGACAAGCAGCAAGGCCACCAGATCCATTCTACTGCCTTTCAGGACAAGCAGCCAGACCACCAGATCCATTCTACCACCTTTCAGGACAAGCAGCCAGACCACCAGATCCATTCTACCGCCTTTCAGGACAAGAAGCCAGACCACCAGATCCATTCTACTGCCTTTCAGGAAAAACAGCCAGACCACCAGATTCATTCTACTGCCTTTCAGGACAAGCAGCCAGACCACCAGATCCATTCTACCACCTTTCAGGACAAGCAGCCAGGCCACCAGATCCATTCTACTGCCTTTCAAGACAAGCAGCCAGACCACCAGATTCATTCTACTGCCTTTCAGGACAAGCAGCCAGACCACCAGATCCATTCTACCACCTTTCTGGACAAGCAGCCAGACCACCAGATCCATTCTACTGCCTTTCAGGACAAGCAGCCAGACCACCAGATCCATTCTACCACCTTTCAGGACAAGCAGCCAGACCACCAGATCCATTCTACCGCCTTTCTGGACAAGCAGCCAGACCACCAGATCCATTCTACTGCCTTTCAGGACAAGCAGCCAGACCACCAGATCCATTCTACCGCCTTTCTGGACAAGCAGCCAGACCACCAGATCCATTCTACCACCTTTCAGGACAAGCAGCCAGACCACCAGATCCATTCTACCACCTTTCAGGACAAGCAGCCAGGCCACCAGATCCATTCTACTGCCTTTCAGGACAAACAGCCAGACCACCAGATCCATTCTACCACCTTTCAGGACAAGCAGCCAGACCACCAGATCCATTCTACTGCCTTTCAGGACAAGCAGCCAGACCACCAGATCCATTCTACCACCTTTCAGGACAAGCAGCCAGACCACCAGATCCATTCTACCACCTTTCAGGACAAGCAGCCAGGCCACCAGATCCATTCTACTGCCTTTCAGGACAAACAGCCAGACCACCAGATCCATTCTACTGCCTTTCAGGACAAGCAGCCAGACCACCAGATCCATTCTACTGCCTTTCAGGACAAGCAGCCAGACCACCAGATCCATTCTACTGTCTTTCAGGACAAGCAGCCAGACCACCAGATCCATTCTACTGCCTTTGAGGACAAGCAGCCAGACCACCAGATCCATTCTACTGCCTTTCAGGACAAGCAGCCAGACCACCAGATCCAATCTACCACCTTTCTGGACAAGCAGCCAGACCACCAGATCCATTCTACTGCCTTTCAGGACAAGCAGCCAGACCACCAGATTCATTCTACTGCCTTTCAGGACAAGCAGCCAGACCACCAGATCCAATCTACCACCTTTCTGGACAAGCAGCCAGACCACCAGATCCAATCTACCACCTTTCTGGACAAGCAGCCAGACCACCAGATCCATTCTACTGCCTTTCAGGACAAGCAGCCAGACCACCAGATCCAATCTACCACCTTTCTGGACAAGCAGCCAGACCACCAGATTCATTCTACTGCCTTTCAGGACAAGCAGCCAGACCACCAGATTCATTCTACTGCCTTTCAGGACAAGCAGCCAGACCACCAGATCCATTCTACCACCTTTCAGGACAAGCAGCCAGACCACCAGATCCATTCTACCACCTTTCAGGACAAGCAGCCAGACCACCAGATCCATTCTACTGCCTTTCAGGACAAGCAGCCAGGCCACCAGATCCATTCTACTGCCTTTCAGGACAAGCAGCCAGACCACCAGATCCAATCTACCGCCTTTCAGGACAAGCAGCCAGACCACCAGATCCATTCTACCACCTTTCAGGACAAGCAGCCAGGCCACCAGATTCATTCTACTGCCTTTCAGGACAAGCAGCCAGACCACCAGATCCATTCTACCACCTTTCAGGACAAGCAGCCAGACCACCAGATCCATTCTACTGCCTTTCAGGACAAGCAGCCAGGCCACCAGATCCATTCTACTGCCTTTCAGGACAAGCAGCCAGGCCACCAGATCCATTCTACTGCCTTTCAGGACAAGCAGCCAGGCCACCAGATCCATTCTACTGCCTTTCAGGACAAGCAGCCAGACCACCAGATCCAATCTACCGCCTTTCAGGACAAGCAGCCAGACCACCAGATCCATTCTACCACCTTTCAGGACAAGCAGCCAGGCCACCAGATTCATTCTACTGCCTTTCAGGACAAGCAGCCAGACCACGAGATCCATTCTACCACCTTTCAGGACAAGCAGCCAGACCACCAGATCCATTCTACTGTCTTTCAGGACAAGCAGCCAGGCCACCAGATCCATTCTACTGCCTTTCAGGACAAGCAGCCAGACCACCAGATCCATTCTACCACCTTTCAGGACAAGCAGCCAGACCACCAGATCCATTCTACTGCCTTTCAGGACAAGCAGCCAGACCACCAGATCCATTCTACTGCCTTTCAGGACAAGCAGCCAGGCCACCAGATCCATTCTACCACCTTTCTGGACAAGCAGCCAGACCACCAGATCCATTCTACTGCCTTTCAGGACAAGCAGCCAGACCACCAGATTCATTCTACTGCCTTTCAGGACAAGCAGCCAGACCACCAGATCCATTCTACTGCCTTTCAGGACAAGCAGCCAGGCCACCAGATCCATTCTACCGCCTTTCTGGACAAGCAGCCAGACCACCAGATCCATTCTACTGCCTTTCAGGACAAGCAGCCAGACCACCAGATTCATTCTACTGCCTTTCAGGACAAGCAGCCAGACCACCAGATCCATTCTACCACCTTTCAGGACAAGCAGCCAGACCACCAGATCCATTCTACTGCCTTTCAGGACAAGCAGCCAGACCACCAGATCCAATCTACCGCCTTTGAGGACAAGCAGCCAGACCACCAGATCCATTCTACCACCTTTCAGGACAAGCAGCCAGACCACCAGATCCATTCTACTGCCTTTCAGGACAAGCAGCCAGACCACGAGATCCATTCTACTGCCTTTCAGGACAAGCAGCCAGACCACCAGATCCATTCTACCACCTTTCAGGACAAGCAGCCAGACCACCAGATCCATTCTACCGCCTTTCAGGACAAGCAGCCAGACCACCAGATCCATTCTACCACCTTTCAGGACAAGCAGCCAGACCACCAGATCCATTCTACCACCTTTCAGGACAAGCAGCCAGACCACCAGATCCATTCTACTGCCTTTCAGGACAAGCAGCCAGACCACCAGATCCATTCTACTGCCTTTCAGGACAAGCAGCCAGACCACCAGATCCAATCTACCGCCTTTCAGGACAAGCAGCCAGACCACCAGATCCATTCTACTGCCTTTCAGGACAAGCAGCCAGACCACCAGATCCAATCTACTGCCTTTCAGGACAAGCAGCCAGGCCACCAGATTCATTCTACTGCCTTTCAGGACAAGCAGCCAGACCACCAGATCCATTCTACTGCCTTTCAGGACAAGCAGCCAGGCCACCAGATCCATTCTACTGCCTTTCAGGACAAGCAGCCAGACCACCAGATCCATTCTACTGCCTTTCAGGACAAGCAGCAAGGCCACCAGATCCATTCTACTGCCTTTCAAGACAAGCAGCCAGACCACCAGATCCAATCTACCGCCTTTCAGGACAAGCAGCCAGACCACGAGATCCATTCTACTGCCTTTCAGGACAAGCAGCCAGACCACGAGATCCATTCTACTGCCTTTCAGGACAAGCAGCCAGGCCACCAGATCCATTCTACTGCCTTTCAGGACAAGCAGCCAGACCACCAGATCCATTCTACTGCCTTTCAGGACAAGCAGCAAGGCCACCAGATCCATTCTACTGCCTTTCAAGACAAGCAGCCAGACCACCAGATCCAATCTACCGCCTTTCAGGACAAACAGCCAGACCACCAGATCCAATCTACTGCCTTTCAGGACAAGCAGCCAGGCCACCAGATCCATTCTACTGCCTTTCAGGACAAGCAGCCAGACCACCAGATTCATTCTACTGCCTTTCAGGACAAGCAGCCAGACCACCAGATCCATTCTACTGCCTTTCAGGACAAGCAACCAGACCACCAGATCCATTCTACTGCCTTTCAGGACAAGCAGCCAGACCACCAGATCCATTCTACTGCCTTTCAGGACAAGCAGCCAGACCACCAGATCCAATCTACCGCCTTTGAGGACAAGCAGCCAGACCACCAGATCCATTCTACCACCTTTCAGGACAAGCAGCCAGACCACCAGATCCATTCTACTGCCTTTCAGGACAAGCAGCCAGACCACGAGATCCATTCTACTGCCTTTCAGGACAAGCAGCCAGACCACCAGATCCATTCTACCACCTTTCAGGACAAGCAGCCAGACCACCAGATTCAATCTACTGCCTTTCAGGACAAGCAGGCCCATGGAGCCAATACTGTTTATATAACTACTGTTGCAACAGCTCACCTCTGGACCAGTAGACCTTGATTCACTGTAACAGTATGCTTCCATGCTGTCAGGTATGCTGAGTTGAACTTACCCGGGCCATGAGTTTAGGGCGGTCGTGTCCGATCCCCTTCAACGCCCCTCTCAGGTTGAAGAAGAAGTTCTGCACTCCTTCAGACATGCCGTTCTCGTACACCTGTTACCATGGTCACAAGAGATAATGCCAGTGAGAATATGTAACTTGAAAACCGATACAGGAAAACATGTGTACAATCATCCACTGACCGGAGTTTGGCCTGTGTGCATTTTATACTGTGTGAACAATATGGAGGGTGTTGAGTTCTGGTTACTTATTTAATTTAATTTGCTGGTTTGTTTGTAATCATGGTAATAATCGATTCCGGACCAGACAATCCAGTGACACTGACCTTGAGTTTGAGTCCCTTGGTGCCGAGCAGCCTGTCGTCAACATTCAGTTCCTGTATGTGCGCCATTTTGTACATCGCTCCCATGGCCTGAAGCAACATAGGATAGATAAGTGAACAAGCCGGTGCCAACCTTGGATGGATTAGTGAACAACTCTCCCAAATCAACATAGGGTGGATTTGTGAACAACTCTCCCAAATCAACATAGGGTGGATTTGTGAACAACTCCCCCAAATCAACATAGGGTGGATTTGTGAACAACTCCCCCAAATCAACATAGGGTGGATTTGTGAACAACTCCCCCAAATCAACATAGGGTGGATTTGTGAACAACTCTCCCAAATCAACATAGGGTGGATTTGTGAACAACTCTCCCAAATCAACATAGGGTGGATTTGTGAACAACTCTCCCAAATCAACATAGGGTGGATTTGTGAACAACTCTCCCAAATCAACATAGGGTGGATTAGTGAACAACTCCCCCAAATCAACATAGGGTGGATTTGTGAACAACTCTCCCAAATCAACATAGGGTGGATTTGTGAACAACTCTCCCAAATCAACATAGGGTGGATTTGTGAACAACTCTCCCAAACCAACATAGGGTGGATTAGTGAACAACTCTCCCAAATCAACATAGGGTGGATTTGTGAACAACTCTCCCAAATCAACATAGGGTGGATTTGTGAACAACTCTCCCAAATCAACATAGGGTGGATTAGTGAACAACTCCCCCAAATCAACATAGGGTGGATTTGTGAACAACTCTCCCAAATCAACATAGGGTGGATTTGTGAACAACTCTCCCAAATCAACATAGGGTGGATTTGTGAACAACTCTCCCAAATCAACATAGGGTGGATTAGTGAACAACTCCCCCAAATCAACATAGGGTGGATTAGTGAACAACTCCCCCAAATCAACATAGGGTGGATTTGTGAACAACTCTCCCAAACCAACATATGGTGGATTAGTGAACAACTCCCCCAAATCAACATAGGGTGGATTAGTGAACAACTCCCCCAAATCAACATAGGGTGGATTTGTGAACAACTCTCCCAAACCAACATAGGGTGGATTAGCGAACGACTGGTCTGTAATAAAGCTGTGCTATTTTATCACTGTGGATATTCTATACAATCTGTCATTTCTGAGCATCATGGCATCTACACCCAAAAGGGTGTACTGTGGAAGATATACTTGTCTTTACAGACGGTTTTCTTTGAAGATGAACATTTCTGAATCTAGGTGGAGAAATAAAGCTGAATGACATCTGAATGACAGAGAAACTGTATTGTTACACAGTAAACTCTAACTTGATCTGTGGATGTTACGTAGTGTCCAGAGTTACGTAGTGTTCAGAGTTACGTAGTGTTACGTAGTGTTTAGAGTTACATAGTGCCTAGAGTTACGTGGTCTTACATAGTGTTTTGAGTTACATAGTGCCTAGAGTTATGTAGTGTCCAGAGTTACATAGTGCCTAGAGTTACATAGTGCCTAGAGTTATGTAGTGTTCAGAGTTACATAGTGCCTAGAGTTACATAGTGCCTAGAGTTACGTGGTGTTCAGAGTTACGTGGTGTTACATAGTGTCCAGAGTTATGTAGTGTCTAGAGTTACGTGGTGTTAAATAGTGTTTAGAGTTACATAGTGTCCAGAGTTACGTGGTGTCCAGAGTTATGTAGTGTTCAGAGTTACGTAGTGTCCAGAGTTATGTAGTGTTCAGAGGTATATAGTGTTCAGAGTTACGTGTTGTCCAGAGTTATGTAGTGTCTAGAGTTACGTGGTGTTAAATAGTGTTTAGAGTTACATAGTGTCCAGAGTTACGTGGTGTCCAGAGTTATGTAGTGTTCAGAGTTACGTAGTGTCCAGAGTTATGTAGTGTTCAGAGGTATATAGTGTCCAGAGTTACGTGTTGTCCAGAGTTATGTAGTGTCTAGAGTTACGCGGTGTAAAGAGTTACGTGGTGTCCAGAGTTATGTAGTGCCTAGAGTTACGTGGTGTAAAGAGTTACGTGGTGTAAAGAGTAACGTAGTGTCCAGAGTTACGTAGTGTCCAGAGTTACGTGGTGTCCAGGTATGTAGTGTCCAGAGTTACGTGGTGTCCAGAGTTACGTGGTGTCCAGAGTTACGTGGTGTCTAGAGTTACATGGTGTAAAGAGTTAGGTAGTGTCCAGAGTTACGTGGTGTCCAGAGTTACATCGAGTTCCCTACCTCCTCCTTTTCTCGCTCAGCCTCCAGTGCATCCAGCTTCACCTTTAGCCTCGACAGTGTTCTCGTCAGCTTGTCAACATCATCATCAGCCTGAAGAAACAACACAAATATAGCCTTTAGTATTCATATGGAAAAATTTCACAAATTGTGAACATTACCAAAATCTGTTAATCATTTTTTGTTATCACTCAGTATGTCTAAGCTTAGTGTTGATTATAACTCACGTCACTTTCAAGATTGATGCACTTATATAGCGATGGGCATGCACGTGTGTATTTATGTGTCTGCTTGTACTAGTCTGGACAAATGCGGATATAGTGCTGGCCCACTGAGATACCATGATGCAGTTTAACATGAATACCCCACTCAGACACAGTATACTGACTCCGAACCGACCAGTCCTTGTTTTAGCCCCTTAATGCTGAGCGCCAGGCATGGTAACAACAAGTACCATCTTTAAACATCTTTTAGTATGCCGATGCTGGGGCTCAAACTGCTGACCTTCCGCTCTCCAGGAAGACACTCCACCATTTGACCACAGAGGCGGCCACAACAGTCAGGTGACTTTACTACACACAAAGTCTATGGTTAGGATGAGTCATATTGTGTACTCACACTGTCCAAGGCTTCATAGAGTTGGTCCGGTTTGAGAGACAAGACGGCAGCGACCGTCACCTTGTCCTTGTCCTCGTCACTCATGGCGTAATTAATCTGGAATTGCAAGAAACAGAAGGTTACAAATACTGCTTCTTTATCATAAAGGGACATAACTCACATTCCGGACCACCTCTCACATCCCAGACCACGTCTCACAACTTGGACCACGTCTCACATCTCTGCCCAATGCTCACAACTTGGACCACGACTCACAACTTGGCCCAACTCTCACATCTTGGCCCAACTCTCACAACCCTGACCACGTCTCACATCCCGGATCACGTATCACATCTCGGACCATGTCTCGCATCCCAGACCACCTCTCACAACTTGGACCACCTCTCACATCTTGGACCACCTCTCACATCCCGGACCATGTCTTACATCCCGGACCACGTCTCACAACCCGGACCACATCTCACATCCCGGGCCAACTCTCACATCCCGGACCAACTCTCAAATCCCGGACAAACTCTCACATCCCAGACCAACTCTCACATTCCGGACCAACTCTCACATCCCAGCAACATCTCACATCCCGGACCACATCTCACTTCCTGGACCAACTCTCAAATCCTGGACAAACTCTCACATCACGGACTAACTCTCACATCCCGGACCACATCTCACATCCCGGACCACATCTCACATCCCAGCCACATCTCACATCCCGGACCACATCTCACATCCCGGACCACATCTCACATCCTGGACCACATCTCACATCCTGGACCACATCTCACATCCCGGACCACATCTCACATCCCGGACGACATCTCACATCCCGGACCACATCACACATCCCGGACCACATCTCACATCCCGGACCACATCTCACATCCCGGACCACATCTCACATCCCGGACCACATCACACATCCTGGACCACATCTCACATCACGGACCACATCTCACATCCTGGACCACATCTCACATCCTGGACCAACTCTTTACACCCCTGACCACATCTCACATCCCGGACCACATCTCACATCCCGGACCACATCTCACACCCCGGACCACCTCTCACATCCCGGACCACATCTCACACCCCGGACCAACTCTTTACACCCCTGACCACGTCTCACATCCCGGACCACATCTCACATCCCGGACCACATCACACATCCTGGACCACATCTCACATCCTGGACCACATCTCACATCCCGGACCACATCTCACATCCCGGACCACATCTCACACCCCGGACCACATCTCACATTCTGGACCACATCACACATCCCGGACCACATCTCACATCCTGGACCAACTCTTTACACCCCTGACCACGTCTCACATCCCAGAACCACATCTCACATCCCGGACCACATCTCACATCCCGGACCACCTCTCACATCCCGGACCACATCTCACACCCCGGACCAACTCTTTACACCCCTGACCACGTCTCACATCCCGGACCACGTCTCACATCCCGGACCACGTCTCACATTCCGGACCACGTCTCATATCCCGGACCACGTCTCACACTGCCTACCTCTGTCCTGTACTTCTTCACCTCCTTCAGCCGAGACTTGACGATCTGCTTGATGCTGGAGATGAAGTCGGTGGTGCCTGTGGGGCTGAAACCCTCCCCAATGGACACCCACAGCGGCCCCATGACAGGCGTCCCTCCCTGCTGGAGACAGTCGTCCAGAATAGGGGCTGCACAAAACACACACTTCATAAGTACAGGGCTTACTGGACACAGGTCATTGTGTCACACAACACACTCGCAAATTTTGACCGGATGCAAATAATGTGCATTGTGAGACTAGGATGCAAACAAGTTCGGTTGTTTGAATCATGAAAACTGTACATTGCATGTTACCATGGTTACATATAACTGACATTTCTACTCTTGTAAGAACATACCATAAATAGAAATATACCAGTCACAGAGTGTCAAAGGTTGATTTTCTCCCATCTAACATTGAAATCCCAAACCATTAAAGGCTAACGGTTTGTGACCATGTGCAATGATATGGCATCAGTAAGTCTTGGAATGTGGCACATGTTCATTTCTTGGGCCTTCATGTTCATTTCTTGGACCCCCATGTTCATCCCTTGGGCCCCAATGTTCATTTCTTGGACCTTCATGTTCATTTCTTGGACCCCCATGTTCATTTCTTGGATCCCCATGTTCATTTCTTGGACCCCCATGTTCATTTCTTGGATCCCCATGTTCATTTCTTGGACCCCCATGTTCAATTCTTGGACCCTCATGTTCATTTCTTGGGCCCCCATGTTCATTTCTTGGGCCCCCATGTTCATTTCTTGGATCCCCATGTTCAATTCTTGGACCCTCATGTTCAATTCTTGGACCCTCATGTTCATTTCTTGGGGCCCCATGTTCATTTCTTGGGCCCCCATGTTCATTTCTTGGACCCCCATGTTCATTTCTTGGACCCCCATGTTACCGATGGTCATGCCTTTCCGTAGAAGGTAAAACTAAGAGTCTTATGGAATGGAAAGTAGACAACGAGGAAAACATATGACATGTTGCTTAGGACTGATTATAAATTCCTATAAAGTAAACATGCGAAAGGCCCTCAAACTGCCCTGGACCTTGGGGAAGAGAGTGTGGGACTATTTGTCCCCATAGGTGACAGGATGCAAGATATGACAGTGTCAGCGCTAAGATGGATTTGGCTATGGAAGGGCTAACATTGAAGAAATTCAGCATGCCTTGTATTCCATGTAGATGACGTAATTATGACCTACTTGCAGACAGATCGGTGATCTCATTGCCCTCCCAGTCATACAGAGTGCGGGCGTGACATCGGAGGTCCAGCTTGGCCGTGCAGGCAACAAGGAACTGAAATGTTCAACATAGAATCTGCACCATGCAGTGTCTCAAATATTCCTGTCTCTGTGTACACCATGTTTGTTTGTTTGTTTATTTGTTTGTTTATTTGTTACACTCAACAATATTCCAGCTACATGACAGTGGTCTGTAAATAATCGAGACTGGACCAGACAATCCAGTGATTCACATCATGAGCATCGATCCCACTAGTTCTACCCCGGATCTTCACCACATACAGCGTAGCCGACACCACATACAGCATAGCCGACACCACATACAGCATAGCCGACACCACATTCAGCATAGCTGACACCACATACAGCATAGCCAACACCACATACAGCATAGCCAACACCACATACAGCATAGCTGACACCACATACAGCATAGCCGACACCACATACAGCAAAGCCGACACCACATACAGCATAGCCGACACCACATACAGCATAGCTGACACCACATACAGCATAGCCGACACCACATACAGCATAGCCGACACCACATACAGCAAAGTCGACACCACATACAGCAAAGTCGACACCACATACAGCATAGCCGACACCACATACAGCATAGCCGACACCACATACAGCAAAGTCGACACCACATACAGCAAAGTCGACACCACATACAGCATAGCCGACACCACATACAGCATAGCTGACACCACATACAGAGTAGCCTACACCACATACAGCATAGCCGACACCACATACAGCATAGCCGATGCCACATACAGAGTAGCCTACACCACATACAGCATAGCCGACACCACATACAGCATAGCCGACACCACATACAGCATAGCCGACACCACATACAGCAAAGTCGACACCACATACAGCAAAGTCGACACCACATACAGCATAGCCGACACCACATACAGCATAGCCGACACCACATACAGCAAAGTCGACACCACATACAGCAAAGTCGACACCACATACAGCATAGCCGACACCACATACAGCATAGCTGACACCACATACAGAGTAGCCTACACCACATACAGCATAGCCGACACCACATACAGCATAGCCGATGCCACATACAGAGTAGCCTACACCACATACAGCATAGCCGACACCACATACAGCATAGCCGACACCACATACAGCATAGCCGACACCACATACAGCAAAGTCGACACCACATACAGCAAAGTCGACACCACATACAGCATAGCCGACACCACATACAGCATAGCTGACACCACATACAGCATAGCCAACACCACATACAGCAAAGTTGACACCACATACAGCAAAGTCGACACCACATTCAGCATAGCCAACACCACATTCAGCATAGCCAACACCACATACAGCATAGCCGACATCACATACAGCATAGCCGACACCACATACAGCAAAGTCGACACCACATACAGCATAGCCGACACCACATACAGCATAGCTGACACCACATACAGCATAGCCGACACCACATACAGCATAGCCGACACCACATACAGCAAAGTCGACACCACATACAGCAAAGTCGACACCACATACAGCATAGCCGACACCACATACAGCATAGCCGACACCACATACAGCAAAGTCGACACCACATACAGCAAAGTCGACACCACATACAGCATAGCCGACACCACATACAGCATAGCTGACACCACATACAGCAAAGTCGACACCACATACAGCATAGCCGACACCACATACAGCATAGCTGACACCACATACAGCATAGCCTACACCACATACAGCAAAGTTGACACCACATACAGCAAAGTCGACACCACATTCAGCATAGCCAACACCACATTCAGCATAGCCAACACCACATTCAGCATAGCCAACACCACATACAGCATAGCCGACACCACATACAGCATAGCCAACACCACATACAGCATAGCTGACACCACATACACCGTAGCCAACACCACATTCAGCATAGCCGACACCACATACAGCATAGCCGACATCACATACAGCATAGCCGACACCACATACAGCATAGCTGACACCACATACACCGTAGCCGACACCACATACAGCATAGCTGACACCACATACAGCATAGCCAACACCACATACAGCATAGCCGACACCACATACAGCATAGCTCACCTCCTCTGTGTTGGCCAGGTCAGCCACGATCTCCATGGGCTCCTTACTCCGCCCATTCCGGTACACCAGGATTCTCACTCTCTTCTGTTCAATCAGAGTCCTGTAAACAAATTCTTCTCAATGCAGTCACTGAGTATCTGTAGGTAATACCTACTAGACAAACGGGCGAGCATACGTGATCAATGTTTTTGCAAAAATAATCTTAACAAGCAAGAAATGCTCATATCCCCTGCCAATATCGCCATTTTCAATCTAAGTCAAAGTCATTGCCATGGAAACCTGAAAAATATATTTTTTTTAAATCCCAAACTATCTAAAGGCACCAGCTCACCACTAAAGCTATCGATGTGCCAAGTTTGGTTGAGATATCTCTCATGGTTTTCGCAACATGGTTTCCGGAAACAACACGTAAAAGATGGAAGGACAGACGGACAGCACCCTTCCTATATCTCCCTTCCAATTCATGGTGGGGGAAAACAACAAACCCTGTCACATGTCAACATACTTCATCCTCCTGGATAGGCATGACCTCGTCTTCTTCTTTTTGCCTTCCTCTGGGAGCATGATGCCTGACAGTGTCCACACAGCCCCCTCCCTCTGGATCAGGTTCCCTGGGGTGGAGGAACAGAGACACATTGTTAAATGTGATACTTGTAGTTAAATAACACCTCCCTGTTGATCACGATCCTGGGGGTGGGGAAAACAGAGGATGATACTTGTAGTTAAATAACGCCTCCCTGTTGATCACATTCCTTGGGGTGGGGAAAATAGAGGATGATATATGTAGTTAAATAACACCTCCCTGTTGATCACATTCCTTGGCGTGGGGAAAATAGAGGATGATATATGTAGTTAAATAACGCCTCCCTGTTGATCACATTCCTTGGGGTGGGGAAAATAGAGGATGATACTTGTAGTTAAATAACGCTTCCCTGTTGATCACATTCCTTGGGGTGGGGAAAATAGAGGATGATATATGTAGTTAAATAACGCTTCCCTGTTGATCACATTCCTTGGGGTGGGGAAAACAGAGGATGATATATGTAGTTAAATAACGCTTCCCTGTTGATCACATTCCTTGGGGTGGGGAAAATAGAGGATGATACTTGTAGTTAAATAACGCTTCCCTGTTGATCACATTCCTTGGGGTGGGGAAAATAGAGGATGATATATGTAGTTAAATAACGCCTCCCTGTTGATCACATTCCTTGGGGTGGGGAAAATAGAGGATGATGTATGTAGTTAAATAACGCCTCCCTGTTGATCACATTCCTTTGGGTGGGGAAAACCGAGGATGATATATATAGTTAAATAACGCCTCCCTGTTGATCACATTCGTTGGGGTGGGGAAAACCGAGGATGATCATGATGATATATATAGTTAAATAACGCTTCCCTGTTGATCACATTCCTTTGGGTGGGGAAAACAGAGGATGATATGTATAGTTAAATAACGCCTCCCTGTTGATCACAATCCTTGGCGTGGGGAAAACAGAGGATGATATATGTAGTTAAATAACACCTCCCTGTTGATCACATTCCTTGGCGTGGGGAAAATAGAGGATGATATATGTAGTTAAATAACGCCTCCCTGTTGATCACATTCCTTGGGGTGGGGAAAATAGAGGATGATACTTGTAGTTAAATAACGCTTCCCTGTTGATCACATTCCTTGGGGTGGGGAAAATAGAGGATGATATATGTAGTTAAATAACGCTTCCCTGTTGATCACATTCCTTGGGGTGGGGAAAACAGAGGATGATATATGTAGTTAAATAACGCTTCCCTGTTGATCACATTCCTTGGGGTGGGGAAAATAGAGGATGATACTTGTAGTTAAATAACGCTTCCCTGTTGATCACATTCCTTGGGGTGGGGAAAATAGAGGATGATATATGTAGTTAAATAACGCCTCCCTGTTGATCACATTCCTTGGGGTGGGGAAAATAGAGGATGATGTATGTAGTTAAATAACGCCTCCCTGTTGATCACATTCTTTTGGGTGGGGAAAACCGAGGATGATATATATAGTTAAATAACGCCTCCCTGTTGATCACATTCGTTGGGGTGGGGAAAACCGAGGATGATCATGATGATATATATAGTTAAATAACGCTTCCCTGTTGATCACATTCCTTTGGGTGGGGAAAACAGAGGATGATATGTATAGTTAAATAACGCCTCCCTGTTGATCACAATCCTTGGCGTGGGGAAAACAGAGGATGATATATATAGTTAAATAACGCCTCCCTGTTGATTACATTCCTTGGGGTGGGGAAAATAGAGGATGATATATATAGTTAAATAACGCCTCCCTGTTGATCACAATCCTTGGCGTGGGGAAAACAGAGGATGATATATGTAGTTAAATAACACCTCCCTGTTGATCACATTCCTTGGCGTGGGGAAAATAGAGGATGATATATGTAGTTAAATAACGCCTCCCTGTTGATCACATTCCTTGGCGTGGGGAAAGGGGGTAACACTTGTCATACATATTGAAATCAAACTAAATCTACTGAACTATGGGATAAAAAGAGATTTACGTTTCGTGGGAAGATGTGGATCCTTGTAGTTTTCCCCCATGGAGATGTAGACATCACTCTCTGGGAGGATGTCCCTGGCCTCGAACACCTCGATGCCATCCTCCAGGAAGATCCTCCGTGCAGCAAACGGCAGCCCCAGCTTCACCGTGAGGAACTCCAACAGCTGTCAACACAGGCAGGGACACTTGACACACAGTGACACACTCAGCTACATGCTGCTCATAAACTTGTAGAAGGAAAAACAATAAAGGTTGAGTGGGGCTGGGGTGGGTCAGTCAGGTACTCAGGTAGGATGGGTCCTGAGTACGACCTGGACACAGATAGGATTACCCAGACCCGTGGTCAGTTAGGTACTCAGGTAGGGTGGGTCCTGAGAAGGACCCGGATACCGATAGGACTACCCGTGGTCAGTTAGGTACTCAGGTGGGGTGGGTCCTGAGAAGGACCCGGATACCGATAGGACTACCCGTGGTCAGTTAGGTACAGGTAGGGTGGGTCCTGAGTAGGACCTGGATACTGATAGGACTACCCAGACCCGTGGTCAGTCAGGTACTCAGGTAGGGTGGGTCCTAAGAAGGACCTGGATACTGATAGGACTACCCGTGGTCAGTCAGGTACTCAAGTGGGGTGGGTCCTGAGTACGACCTGGACACAGATAGGATTACCCAGACCCGTGGTCAGTTAGGTACTCAGGTAGGGTGGGTCCTAAGAAGGACCTGGATACTGATAGGACTACCCGTGGTCAGTCAGGTACTCAAGTGGGGTGGGTCCTGAGAAGGATCCGGATACTGATAGGACTACCCGTGGTAAGTTAGGTACTCAGGTGGGGTGGGTCCTGAGAAGGACCCGGATACCGATAGGACTACCCGTGGTCAGTTAGGTACAGGTAGGGTGGGTCCTGAGTAGGACCTGGATACTGATAGGACTACCCAGACCCGTGGTCAGTCAGGTACTCAGGTAGGATGGGTCCTGAGTACGACCTGGACACAGATAGGATTACCCAGACCCGTGGTCAGTTAGGTACTCAGGTAGGGTGGGTCCTAAGAAGGACCTGGATACTGATAGGACTACCCGTGGTCAGTCAGGTACTCAAGTGGGGTGGGTCCTGAGAAGGATCCGGATACTGATAGGACTACCCGTGGTAAGTTAGGTACTCAGGTAGGGTGGGTCCTGAGAAGGACCCGGATACCGATAGGACTACCCGTGGTCAGTTAGGTACTCAGGTAGGGTGGGTCCTGAGAAGGATCCGGATAACAATAGGATTACCCGTGGTCAGTTAGGTACAGGTAGGGTGGGTCCTGAGAAGGATCCGGATACCAATAGGACTACCAAGACCCGCGGTCAGTCAGGTACTCAGGTAGGGTGGGTCCTGAGTAGGACCTGAATACTTATAGGACTACCAAGGCCCGTGGTCAGTCAGGTACTCAAGTGGGGTGGGTCCTGTGAAGGACCCGGATACCGACAGGACTACCCGTGGTAAGTCAGGTACTCAGGTAGGGTGGGTCCTGAGTAGGACCTGGATACTGATAGGACTACCAAGGCCCGTGGTCAGTCAGGTGATCTACACTACAAGTCGCTATTGTTTGCATTTCTTTCTGGCTGTGCATACATTCCTACTGACTGATGTTTGAGTAAATTCATGAGCAGATCATTTTTAGCTATCTGAATAGTTTTTCATAGGGATCTGAAAAAACAATGCCCAATTGGGGATTTTGTCTGTTTTGTTTGTTTGTTTGTTGTCTAACGCCACACTCTGAAACATATTTGCTCGCTTACACAACTGAGCAGGAAGGAAGCAAAATTTAAATGCAAAGAAAATAACATATTCATACCAGTTTTTCACACATATCTCTCAGACTAATTAAATGGGGTATGGAAAACAACAGTGTTTTGTTTGTTTTACAACCCGACACCAGCTACCTTCTCCAATCTTTGGACATTGGACTTTATGGACCATAGGATTTGTTTGTTTGTTTATTTGTTGCTTAACGCCACACTCAGCAATATTCCAGCTATATGACTTCGGTCTGTGGATAATCGAGTCTGGACCAGACAATCCAGTGATTGACATCATGAGCATCGATCCACAATTGGGATCAATGACATGCATCAACCAAGTCAGCGAGCCTGACCACCGATCCTCTAAGTGGCCTTTTACGACAAGCACAGTCACCTTTTACGACAAGCACAGTCACCTTTTATGGCAAGTATGGGTTGCTGAAGACCTATTCTACCCCGGGTCTTCACGGGAAGGACATTGTGTACCCAATTCTTGAGGCCTACAGCGGGTATCTGTGTAAGGTTGGATAAAAGGAGATCTGTACCTGGGTAGTAAATTTGGACCCATCCCAGCCCTAGTTTCGTTTTTAGCAATATTCCAGCAATATCACGGCGGGGTACATCAGAAATGGGCTTCACACATTGTACCCGTGTCGGAAATCGAACCCAGGTCTTCGGCGTGACGAGCGAATGCTTTTACCACTAGGCTACCCGACCGCTCCCCTAGTTTAGGGCATACACTTTCTCAGACTAAAGATACCTTAAACCATGAAATTAATGCGTCTCCAAAAGAATGTGACCGCTGGCCCCTAGTCAATAATGTGACTCAATATGAATGCGACACCTCCCTCCCCTCAAGCATCAGTGGATTTATATCTAAAGAAAATGTCCTCTGTCAGGTTTACAGGAGAATCCTCACCCTCATCCAACCTTACATTAATCCAATCACACACCAAATAGCACCGCTCATTAGCACTGATTGAAGTACTTCCGCTAAAACAATACATGCGTGCTGGCTCGTGTCAGCCTTCGATGCAGTCACAAAGAACAGAGACACTGTGTTGCGTGGGTGGGGTCTGTCTGGTATTACAGGTGTGATTACTGATGACCTAAGTGTGTAGAACTCTTGTCTTGACCCCAGCAGTGACAATTCACAGGATGTAATTAGTGTTTGATTGGCATTGTTTATATACTTATTACAAGTGCTGCTCAATAAACAGTGATGTGGAATACATAGTTGTTTCTTTTCAGCGTATGTCTAAGTTGGTATTTCTGCTATCCAAAATGTCTTATTGTTGATATAAATGCGTTGTTTAGTAATGCGAGCAAAGACCACTCCCATTTCTCGCATTTAATTCAAGATTTACAGTATATTAAGAACCTGTCTGCACGTTTCTGGTGTGTCCTGATTCTTAATTGTAACTGGTGATGTGCTTTTTTCAGTTGGTTGTGAAATACGTCTGGAGGTACTGAATCACTGACTACGACTGTTTCTTACCATCTTTATATTGGGTGCTGTAGCTCTGACAAAACTGTCCCGCGTTCCATTTTTGAAGGCTACAACTCGTATCGTGTGTGGCTGGCGCCGATACAGACCTTTAGGCCGTTTCCCTGGAGACAACAAACACTGCATTGCTGAGAACATGAACACTGAAATTTGACAGTTACAGCAAAACACAATAGACATTACATGCCCCTAAACAATTGTCCCGTTGCAGGGCATGTGCTTATTCATATGATTGTCACAGAGTAACAGGCCGAACAATTACTGCAGGAATACATGTGCTTATTCATATGATTGTCACACAATATCAGGCCAAACAATTAACAAAATTTGACAAAACTGAAAGTTCTACCAAGAAATTTCCATCCAAACCTTTTTATCAATATCCTAGCCCCCACCCCCCACCCCACCACACCCCTCTGGGCTGCAGCACAAGGAGACCTACCGGAGGAGGGTCTGAAGTAGGAGTAGCGAGAAGACACACCGGACACTGGACGGCTGGAACAAATGCAGACAAACATTTACAAGCATGTATACAGGTGGCAAGCCATAGTTTGCTGCTGATGCTGGACAGACGAAGTTAGCCAAATGAACCAATCACAAGCTGCCTTTTCATCTACAGTCAATGAGAGGTCTTTCTTAACTCAGCAGGTCCTACTGATCTCACACAAAGCAGGGGTTGATCAAGGATTCCAAACTAAGTGCCCTTAGTTATTTTGTTCAAAGATCTTATTATTTTTACTGTTTACATTTTCATAAATTCTGAGCGAAGAAGACATTTTTAATTCAAGTTTGGAATTTTTACTGTCATTTGTGCAGTTCGAGGTGAATCCCTGCACAGGTCATCAAAAATGATCACACTGTGACACTTGATATTAGTGAGTGAGTATGGTCTTACGCCGCTTTTAGCAATATTCCAGCAATATCACGGCGGGGGACACCAGAAATGGGCTTCACACATTGTACCCACGTCGGGAATCGAACCCGGGTCTTCGGCACGATGAGCGAACACTTTAACCACTAGGCTACCCGACCGCCCCCACTTGATATTAAATAAAATAGAATATTAATGTCATTTGGCAACAATGGTAGTATTGACATTATACGAATCCTGTCCCATTGACGTTTGTATCATGGTAGGAAATATCTTTCATCATGTGTTCCCCTACCTGACTCTCCTGACAGGTGCACTGGCGGGGCGGCGAGGGTGTTTGCCGTACTTCTCACGGGGGGTTTCCGGATCCCACATGCTGGGATCAGCGATGAACTTTGCATCTATCTTTGGTTTTTCAGATCGTTGTTTGTTGCGCAAATTGACAGCTGAGGCTGGCCGTCTCCGTGGTCGACTGTACGTGGCGGTGGTGGGAGTTGGGGGGAACCGCTGCAGGTACGGAGATGCTGGGAGCCTGTGTAAGAGGGAGGGGACATTATACCGCTCGTTACAAGACATGCAACACATGTACATAGATTCATGGAAGTGCTATCTACTTTGAAAGAAACTTAAAGATAACAATTCCTGCATGTACCATTAGAAACTGCCAAGTCCAAATTTAGTGCGTGCATGTGTGTGTGGCAGTGTGTATGTGTGTGCATGCTTGTGTGGCGGTGTATGTGTGTGTGTGTGTGCATGCTTGTGTGGCGGTGTATGTGTGTGTGTGCATGCTTGTGTGGCGGTGTGTGTGCATGTGTGTGTGGCGGTGTGTGTGTGTGTGTGTGTGCATGCTTGTGTGGGGGTGTATGTGTGCATGCTTGTGTGACAGTGTGTATGTGTGCATGCTTGTGTGGCGGTGTGTGTGCATGCTTGTGTGGCGGTGTGTGTGCATGCTTGTGTGGCAGTGTGTGTGTGTGTGTGCATGCTTGTGTGGCAGTGTGTGTGTGTGTGCATGCTTGTGTGGCGGTGTGTGTGTGTGTGTGTATGCTTGTGTGGTGGTGTGTGTGTGTGTGTGTGCATGCTTGTGTGGCGGTGTGTGTGCATGCTTGTGTGGCGGTGTGTGTGTGTGCATGCTTGTGTGGTGGTGTGTGTGTGTGCATGCTTGTGTGCGTGTGTGCATGCTTGTGTGGTGGTGTGTGTGCATGCTTGTGTGGCTGTGTATGTGTGTGCATGCTTGTGTGGTGGTGTGTGTGTGCATGCTTGTGTGGTGGTGTGTGTGTGTGCATGCATGTGTGGCGGTGTGTGTGTGTGTGTGTGCATGTGTGTGGCGGTGTGTGTGTGTGCATGCTTGTGTGGCGGTGTGTGTGTGTGCATGCTTGTGTGGCGGTGTGTGTGTGTGTGTGTGTGTGCATGTGTGTGTGGCGGTGTGTGCCCAGTACATCTAAATATAACCCACTCTCTGTCTTTCTTGACTTCAGCTCTTGATTTCTTCATTTCCTCCAAGTACTGGGCTATGAGTAAGTCTTCATAGCTGATCATGCCCGAATTGTTAGGGTTATAGTTCATTACATTCTTGTCCCTTGACGACATTCTGTTTACGTCCATGTCCCCACCCTTTGGCATTTCTGAAATACAAATAAAGTCAATTACATAGTTTCAAAACAAGGTGAAAGGTGAAATGGTGCTTAACACAGTGTTCAAGATCATTGCACCTGTATTGGGACGTGCATGCACTGCTTGTACTAGTCCGGACTGATGCCTTTTTATAGTGCTAGCCCACTGAGATACCATGCCACAGTTTAACATGAATACCCCTCTCAGACACAATATACTGACTCTGAGCCGACCAGTCCTTGTTTTACCATATATATATAGCCCCTTAATGCCGAGTGTCGGACAGAGTAACAAAGTTCCATCTTTTAACATCTCTTGGTAATATTACGAGCTATGAGCCACGCCACTGAGGAACAATGTCATGTTATCAACCGTGTCTCCAGGCCTGAGCACCTAATCCATTAATTCACGTGTATGACCAGCATAGGTTGCTGGGGATGTTCTATCCCCGAAATCCTCATGAGGCAAGTGACCTGTGAAGATCCGGGTTAGAATTGGTCTTCAGCCATTCGTCCCCACTCGCTCCTTTCCCTAACCTACAAGAAGACTTGCCCCCTTATCCATGAATGTTGTGTGCGAAAATGTGACAAACCAATCAGAATGCGCGTATGATTTCGAGTTCTTTGTCAAATAATCCCTCAGAAATTTTTTTTGATTTTAATTTGTCTTGCAGCTAAAAATATACCCAAGACACAGTTAAATTTGTTCAATCATACTGTATAATTCCGCATGTCCCGGTGTGCTTTAAATTGCATCTTAAAATATATATAATATATAGGGAAATATATGTGAACCATTTCGCAACGAGTTGACAATTGTTTTAGGTATGCCCGTTTGCGCTAAGACGGAACCCAGTCGCAAAAAAGGCCATGAGAGGGGCACAAGTCGCCATTCGGCTTGTCCGGGATAACACGAGTTGGTCACGAATGGGTCTTAAGCAACCCATGCTTGCCGTAAAAGGCGACTAACAGGATCGGGTGGTCAGGCTCGATTTTTTATACACCGCAGTCATTTAGAAGGAATATTGCTGAGTGCAGTGTTAAACAAACAAACAAACATAAGGCAATATATGTAGGCCAATATAAAAACGATGATCAGTTCCGCTGAGAATTTAGTCCAGGCAGGAATGGTTCTAACGAGTAAATGAGTTCTATAGAAAGAGATACTCTGGTAAAATTGGTTCCAAATTAAAATTACCACAGATAAAGTTCCAGAGGAACTAATTTTCAGGAGGTATATGAACACTCTAATATTACATACATTCACACAATTTCACTTTGAAAAGCATGATGCATAATATTTTAAACACAGTATCAAAGAAATTGAACTTCATCATTCCTCGCACCACAACAAATGTGAAATGACTCTGAAACAAATTTGTACGTAATGAATTTTGTGAAAGGTGTAAGATGTGAGAAAATGAAACTTTGGGTATGCGACACCAGGGTACATATTAAACTTTATCCAACAGTGTACAATACAACAAACTTTTAACATTATGAACAGCTAACATTCAACACAAAAAGACCTACCGTATTCGATGTAATAAGCGCCCAGGGTGCTCTCAAAATTAGAAATAGGGGGCTCTTATTAGAGTATTATTTTGTTGGAAAAAAGAGAGTTGAAAGATAAATTTCGTGGTTTATGCTGACACACTGAAATGTTTATATGCGACAGATACATTTTTCCAAAATTTAATTGCCCATAATTAAGAATGCATATAAAACACGAGTGCGTATTATACGCGAATAAATAAGTCTTGTGTACATTGATCAATCAGAAGGAGTGCTAATTGGGATTGTTCACTAGCCACTATATTAGCAAATATCGTCGTGGGCACTTATTAGAGCGGGGCGTATACAGTATACTTTATTTTTTTCATATTATCAAGTAGGTTAAGGCAATAACATTGGTCTATCTCCATGATCACTATCAGTTGTGTATGTTGGGGCTGGGACAGATACGTATCTCTGTTAGTAACGAGGTTAGTAACGTGATATTTATTTATTTTATCATGATGATGGTCAAACACCACGGTTTCCCAACAAGTCGCTAAATGTTCACATTTCTTTCTCAGAAAGTTTCTGACAAGGCAGTCATTCCTTCTGACTTTTATTTGTTTCAGTAAAAATAAAGCTGTCGACTTCAGAGAATGCAGTATCAGATCGTTTTATGGGTGTATCTATAAGCAGCTTTTGCCAGAACTCCGGTAAAACTTGATACCGAAAGCGGGTACCTGCAAGGGTTGGGTCGGGTACCCGGGTTGTAAATTTCGACTCGTCCCTGCCACAGTGCCATGTTTCTTACATTCATTATGTAATGACAGCAAGAAAGGCAAGCAAATGTTAGATTAAAATAAAACAAATATTCACGGCTGCACACATTCATATATATCAACATCTACATTACGCCATCCTTTCCATTCCTAAGAATGAACTTGATGGAGAACTTCTACTTCTAGAAACGGGCACCTGCTTGTTCACTGTGTAAAATCATTTGCTTCTTCGCTTCAAACAAATTAAACTATTTCACAGTAATTTCAAAGATATGAATTCTTACTTGTCACGTATGTATGTCCACGAGGTTGTATAATAGTGTCACTTGGCCATGCAAAAATTGTTATCTCCAAGAAAGTGTGAAAATCAACATTTTGCGGCCATATTGATATTTGCCGCTATCACCTAGGAGATGACGTCACGACAGGCTGTCGCTCTTACGATTTATTTTTTATTCAGCACATAATGTATCAATGTTTAAGATTAATTTTATTTACTTATTTTTATGACAAGTATTAGGCAATATGGTTTCGCTAGTTTGTATTATTGATGACCTACGGAATAAGCCGGAAAGTACCGAGTGGGAGTACCTGCTCATCTCCGCCTCGATTTCATCTAGCATGCTAATGGCGGCCATTTGTAGCTGATGGTACACCTACAACCTTGGTTATAATTGGACATTTGGTTGCTGTTGCTGATTTTACACTTCAATAGATCTTGCCCGTGGGTAAGTATATTCTTGCTTTATCACATCTGCAAGGAACAGAGGGTGGTAACGTCTAGGTTTCGTTATAAACTGCGCCGGCTTCTTGATGGTCAAAAAAATCTTGTCAAGTCTGAGGTCAGGGGGCGAGGTTTGTCCAAATTATTTCAAATAATTATTCCCTTGTGTAATATATTTACAATTGAAACTCCCTCCTAGATATATGGCGATCATATAGGTACGCGTTCCCTTCAATATGAGCACAAGCAAGCCCAATGTTGATGATAAGGAAGTGACAATCGACGTCCATTTCATTTGGTGCCATCAAAAGTAGGCGTGACCATTGACAGATCTCACAGCAGTGTAAATGACGCACCGATAATCTGGAATCAATGGGAAGAAACATAGATGCCAGAATCTCACGATGTCATAAGAATCTAAACACAACGCATGATCTGTGAATAATTTGCCCTAAAGGTTATGAGATACTCATCTCTTGAGTTAAATAAAATACGCCTTGGTGGTTCTCAACATATTTTACAGCCAACAATTCAGGCTCTAGCCTATTTGGAATTGGATGTCTCATATATCAGGAACAGTTATAGGCCCTATATCATATCCAAATTAGTTAAGCAAATTGGAAGTCTGTAATTATTTTATATTCACCATGTTCACAATGCCTTTGTCATCAGGTCATATATAGACCATGGTGCGTGTCAGTATGTTTCCTCCCACAATCATGCTGATGAAGACAAATTATCACATTTGCAGGCATATTCATGAAATTCTCAGGTTTCTCCATTTCTGTGAGGGCATTTTGCAGACTAGCGCTAAATCAACTGGCATCAGATATATTTTTTCTCATGGTTTTGAAACTTTGTCATATCCATCCTTCTTACATTATTAAGGCTATCAATACCTATTGATTGCCATTCTCTGACTTGGTTGATGCATGTCATCGTATCCCAATTGCGTGGATCTAGCTCATGATGTCAATCACTGTATTGTCTGGTCCAGACTTGATTATTTACATACCGCGGTCATATAGCTGGAATATTGCTGAGTGTGTCGTTAAGCCACCAATTAACAAACAAACAAATCCTATGGTCCATAAAGTCCAATGTCCAAAGATTGGAGAAGGTAGCTGGTGTCGGTTTGTAAAACAAACAAAACATTGTTGTTTTCTATACCCCATTGAATTAGTCTGAGAGATATGTGTGAAAAACTGGTATGAATATGTTGTTTTCTTTGCATTTAAATTTTGCTTCATTCCTGCTCATTTGTGTTAGCGAGCAAATATGTTTCTGAGTTTGTCGGCACTCTCAGCGATAGAAACTAAGTTTTCGTCCACTTGTCCTGATCATAATGATTACATCTAGTAAAACCCTTCTCTTCCCTTTACTATTGGTCAATTTGGCAAGGACTACAATTTCTAATGCTGATTCGTCCCATGCTCTGGGTTTCACTAAGGTATTAAATCTGCATCACTTCAAGCTTTCCACCCATATGACATCCACCATGTCCACTGCTGACGTAATGTTAATGAAATATTGTTGAAAGCAGCGTTAAGCCCAACTTAACCTTATAATGTAGCATGGTTACAATTGTACGAGGGGAGTGATATTCAACCAGTGTTGGCTGCCTCACAATACTCTTTCCTCATCCTGACTCCAAATTTTGTTCAGAATGATAAAACTATATAAATCCAAGGGTAGCATGAAAAATGGAATGAACAAAACACATGAAATACAATTTGCTTGTGTTATGTACTCGATATGATCCAAAAGAATCTGGAGTTCTTTAACTGATTTTTGAAAAGTATACAAATGGTTTCAATCCACTGTTTTGTGTATTGACTTGCATCTATTGAACATGTTTGAGTTGGGCTACGACACATCACAGAGGGCCACCTCCATGGTGTAGTGGTAGAGAGTCCACCCTGAGAGCTGAAGGTCCCCGTCCGCGTCATACCAATGGACGTTAAATGAGGGCACTTAAGGCCCTAAAACACGCATGCACGCATGCATGTCGCTATATAAGCGCAGTAATCTTGGACACAATGTTAAATCTAACCTCACCTCACTCTATAATGATCTTTCTAATGGCCAATGTGACATCATCTTTTGCTGGTTACCAAGTTATGTTGGCATAACAGGTAACTCAAAAGCCGATACTGCAACTAAAGCACTTCTTTACAAACCGTTATCTCCACTACTGATCCCGTACAGTGATTTCAAAACAACTATCAAATCTTATACTCGGGATCTCATGCAAAAGAGGTGGGCCACCCAAGTAGGAAGCAATAAACTACACGAATTGAAACCAACAATCGGTCATACCTACTTGGGTTGTCAGTCAAGACATGACGAGGTCGTTTTACGACGGTGTCGTATTGGCCACAGTCGGTTTACCCACGAATATCTGCTTAAGACAGATGAGGACAAACCTCCTAAGTGTATCCCTTGTGATGAAAGGTTCACCTATAAGCATATATTGCTTGACTGTGTGGACTTTGCAATTGCAAGGGATTCACATTATCAAAGTGTAAATCTAAAAGATCTCTTTTCCCGTGTCAGCGGGCATCTCATCATAAATTACTTGAAAGAAATTGGTCTGTATAATACATTTTAAATATGTATGTGAATAATTAAATGCTTGTTTTTAAATTTGGTGTGATGCTATTAGCAACTGACATTATTAAAGGCTCTGTCCAGGAGGTTAACGTAGTGTAAAAATATTGTCCCCCTGTGTGACACATAATCCTATAGTAATCCATGTAACTATCATCAACCAGTGTTTTAAGCCAACTCACTGATGAGTATTTTTTAGTATTAGCTAGCATTGTGCACAACCACCAGTGGCTAAAGTGATGACGTAAATCCTGCTGGGGTATCATGCAGGAAGCAGGAGTACTGTCAGTCCCCATCATCCCCAATCGAGGTGGCCTATAGCTCATGTTTTAAACTGTATTAATGATATTGTTATGCTCCAATATGTTTCATCAATTGTTTTTAAATATAGTATGCTCCAATATGTTTCATAATTTTAAAATATGACATTGCATAAATAACTAAATTGTGGATATATTAGCTTGGTCTCGTCGCTATATAGCTAAAATATAGGGTGCGACGTTAAATTTTAACTCACTCACTCACACGTCACAGAATATATACCACAGCCATAGGCAATCTGTGACATGAAACACAAGATGTTTTACTCTTCCAAAGAACTTTTTATTATTTTGTGCAGATGTATTTCTTCAGGGAAGTCATGATTTCTGTTGACTGTTTACAGGTAGATGCTCCAATATGCCAGCTGTGAAAGGGGATGGTATGAGAGGACTTGCAGTCTTCATTTCGGACATCAGAAACTGTGAGTCTAAACCGAACATATCCATCGTACCAAGATGCCTACATTTGTCTATATGTCCCACTGTTGTGTTTTATCCCGTTACCATAGTTTCTACCCCGTACTTCAATTTGAGTTTGTGTGTGATGCCTGTGACAGATACAGTGCTGATTCTAGACTCTGAAAACTGGATCATTGTGACCTAGGGGATAATTCTAGGGTGGGGCCTTATGCTTTTAGACCCTACATTTGAAAAAAGGCCCACATTTTCTAATACAATGGGGCATTTTAACATTGTGCTGTATGGGCAAGTGTGGGTGTACCTCTCGAACATTTGAAATTCACGTAATGGGCCCACGTCATTAAATTCCCAGAGTGAACCCTGACTTGTCAACTGTGTAAAAGTAACAAATTAGGGGCTCAGTCAACGAGCCTGGGACCCTCTTGGCTTCAACTGCAACAAAAGTCGGTGCCATTAGTTCTTTTCTTGTTGAAGTAAGTGGAACTTATGACCGCTAGGGCTGCCTAAAAAGGTCAATAATCAGAATTATCTTTAATGGAAGAAATATCAATGATTGTGTCATCGATTATATCTTACATGAATTGTTATGAAATTAAGTTTAGATTTACCAAAACAGACTTGTTATTGTCAATCATGTCATTTGCTGAAGTTAGAAAGTAACTGTTCGTGTTATATCTTAAGTGTCCACAAAGTAATCCCTGCATATATGTGCCACCACTCACCAGTGGGCTAAAATGTGTTGTTTTCTTTCGATCCTTTTTTGGTGTGTTTGCTCAAAGTTACTTCTCCGATATTTGTTAATAACTGATCAAAATTTAGTTACTGGTTATCGATCTCTATGATCTGTAACAATAGCCAGCCCTAACTTTGTCACGTAAAACTGTACTTTGGCCATACTATTCCTACCTTATGACCGCCTACACATAATGAATGCGATTCATGGAACCTGTTGTTCAGCATGTTGGGTTCAGAGGTTCCATAATTTACAGTTGTGTCCTTTCAATTTCAATCCGTAATATGATCAAAACATGAGATGTCAGCAGTAGCACACAATCTCTGGGTATGTTTCATGGTTAAAGTCTACAATATGATGATCAAAGTTCATGTCTGCCATAAGATGATCAAAGTTCATGTCTGCCATAAGATGATCAAAGTTCATGTCTGCCATAAGATGATCAAAGTTCATGTCTACCATAAGGTGATCAAAGTTTATGTCTGCCATAAGGTGATCAAAGTTTATGTCTGCCATAAGGTGATCAAAGTTCATGTCTACCATAAGGTGATCAAAGTTTGTCTGCCATAAGGTGATCAAAGTTCATGTCTACCATAAGGTGATCAAAGTTCATGTAGACCGCCTCCGTGGTCCTGTGGTAGAGCGTCAGCCCGGAGAGCGGAAGGTCCAGGGTTCGATCCCGGGCAGCGTCATACAAAAAGACGTTAAAAGATTGTACTTGTTGTTACCCTGTCTGGCGCTCGGCATTAAGGGGCTAAAACAAGGACTGGTCGGCTCGGAGTCAGTATACTGTGTCTGAGTCGGGTATTCATGTTAAACTGCGGCATGGTATCTCAGTGAGCTAGCACTATAAATCGGCATCAGTCCGGACTAGTACAAGCAGCCACACATACACGTGCATGCAGGTCGCTATATAAGTGCAATAATCTTGGACGCGACGTTAAACCCCATTTCACCTCACCTCACCTCAAAGTTCATGTCTACGATAAGGTGATCAAAGTTCATGTCTACCATATGATGATCAAAGTTTATGTCTGCCATAAGATGATCAAAGTTCATGTCTACCATAAGGTGATCAAAGTTTATGTCTGCCATAAGATGATCAAAGTTCATGTCTACCATAGGGTGATCAAAGTTTATGTCTGCCATAAGATGATCAAAGTTCATGTCTACCATAAGGTGATCAAAGTTCATGTAGACCGCCTCCGTGGTCCTGTGGTAGAGCGTCAGCCCGGAGAGCGGAAGGTCCAGGGTTCGATCCCGGGCCGCGTCATACAAAAAGACGTTAAAAGATTGTACTTGTTGTTACCCTGTCTGGCGCTCGGCATTAAGGGGCTAAAACAAGGACTGGTCGGCTCGGAGTCAGTATACTGTGTCTGAGTCGGGTATTCATGTTAAACTGCGGCATGGTATCTCAGTGAGCTAGCACTATAAATCGGCATCAGTCCGGACTAGTACAAGCAGCCACACACACACATACACGTGCATGCACGTCGCTATATAAGTGCAATAATCTTGGACGCGACGTTAAACCCCATTTCACCTCACCTCACCTCAAAGTTCATGTCTACCATAAGGTGATCAAAGTTCATGTCTACCATATGATGATCAAAGTTTATGTCTGCCATAAGATGATCAAAGTTCATGTCTACCATAAGGTGATCAAAGTTTATGTCTGCCATAAGATGATCAAAGTTCATGTCTTCCATAAGGGGATCAAAGTTCATGTCTACCATATGATGATCAAAGTTCATGTCTACCATAAGATGATCAAAGTTCATGTCTACCATAAGGTGATCAAAGTTCATGTCTACCATAAGATTATCAAAGTTCATGTCTACCATAAGATGATCAAAGTTCATGTCTACCATAAGATGATCAAAGTTCATGTCTACCATAAGGTGATCAAAGTTCATGTCTACCATAAGGTGATCAAAGTTCATGTCTACCATAAGATGATCAAAGTTCATGTCTACCATAAGGTGATCAAAGTTCATGTCTACCATAAGATGATCAAAGTTCATGTCTACCATAAGATGATCAAAGTTCATGTCTACCATATGATGATCAAAGTTCATGTCTACCATAAGATGATCAAAGTTCATGTCTACCATAAGATGATCAAAGTTCATGTCTACCATATGATGATCAAAGTTCATGTCTACCATAAGGTGATAAGTTCAAACCCCCATCCAGGATGCTTGCCAAGGGAGATAACTTGTAACCTTGAGCCACCTGAACAAGCTATCTGAAAGTGGATTATTGCAAGGTAATTTTTCCCTGTCTGCCCCCTCTCTTGCATCATCAGTAAACATGCGACGGAGCCAACTGCCCAAGGGACTACTTTGGCCGCTGACATTCTATTATTGTTATACTTCAGGTGTTAGGCTGGAAATATGTTAAAAGCGGGCAGTGTTTGTCATGAAATTTGAACAAGTGTGGACGGGGGCTTTTTCAGCATAAACATATGGGGTCATTTTCAAAACTTGTGAAGTCACACTCTGAGAGATAATATGAAACTTAAAACCCGATTCGTAGGCTATTAAGGTGCTCCACTATTAGTTGTAGCAGTATCATGAGGGATACTTGTAGTTTTGTTCATCCAGGAAGGCACGGGTGGCCCAGTCGTCTAAGGCCCCACGGTTCGCTGTGCAGAGTTGGGTCCCCAGCAGTGGAAACTAACAGTTTTCATCCACTAGTCATTATAATGATAACATATAGCAAAACCCTTAAAAGGGGCCAATTTCTATTAGTCCTTATGATACCTTAACTATTGGGCAGTTTGGCAAGGACTATAGGACTAGTACCAATTTCTAACGCTGATCCCTTGGTCACACCAGGAACCTATGATTGTGTGTTCGAATACCGGTTCGCCCCAATTATGTTTCTAGGTTTGTCAGCACCATACCCGTGCTCGTGGGTTTACTTCAGGTTTTTCTCCCACATTAAGCTGACACGCTTACACTCACTTATTCATCCAGCATCAGAATTTATACGAGCAGGAGGCGAGTGGCATAAAACCTAACTAGGGTGGCCTAAGACCATGCACCCCTCGTGATACTGCTACAACAGTGACAGAAATTGGCACTTGTCCTGTAGCCTTTGCCAAACTGCTCAATAGTTAAGGTGTCATAAGGACCAGTAGAAATTTGCCATTTTTAAGGGGTTTGCTATATGTTATCATTATAAGGACGAGTGGACTAAAATGTTAGTTTCTACTGCTGTACAAAAAATTTGTCTTACCAATATATTTTGATATGAAGTTATAGAATTAAAACATTCAAAATTGATAGAAAACAGCTGATGGTTGAGCTGAGGTTAACTTTGTGCTATGGCCCCTGGACTTTCATTGACTTGGAAAAAGCGTGCAGCATTTTGCTTCGAGGCAGGGTGTAAGGGATTTATTCTCCCACTCAGACAGGCGGGATTCATAGTTGTTTATCAAGATCACGTTGACCAATCAGATCTCATCATACTGACATGGTGATGTGATAAAAGGTTTTACATGGCTTCTTCCTCAATGTTTAGATTGCAGCACCAATTTTGTATGTTTGTCTCCTCAGCATGTGCACTGGACTCATTCTAAAATTAGAATTTAGCCCTTGTCATTGTATTACATTTCCCATGATTTATACAAGTATTTGTTTCTGAAGTAGATGCAACCATTTGTTGTCACAAAGTCAGGTTCCTTGAAATTTTCATCCTTTCTTGGTCTTCCCTCCCAAGTGTAACGCATTTTGGGTATACTATCACTAAAGATACTTCTGGTCGGCAGTTCTGCATCAGGGTCAATTGAAAGCAGAAACATTGTTGGTATATCAGAAGATAGTTGTTTTAAAATTGATCTATCTCTGAACTCTCTTCAGCTGTCTGATCCTGGATATTCCTGTGGGGCCATGGATTATTAGTTGTAGTGAAGAACCTATGAACTTCGTCCATATTTCTACTATATTTGCAAAAATGTGTAAGCTCAATTCTGATTGGACCATTTGTGACTATGAAAGCTCTGATAGTAAAGTGACTGTGCTCATGGGTCTAACTGTCTTAAGCCTGGTATCCCTTTTAGACATTTTAGGACATTCAGATCATGTCCATGACAAAACATGTTAAATCAATATCATGCTGATCAGCCTCTTTTTGTTTGGAAATTTTAAGATTCCTTGAAACATGTTGGAGAATTGGTGTGTGGCTTATTGGCCACTGATGGCCTTGTATTTTGGAAACATCTGCACAACATGGCACAAGGCGTTATGAGCAGCCTGCAACTTT